ATACGTCCATGATTCAAAGAGTGGAAGCAACCTCTCACGAGTGGGCTGCTCTTCACCATGAAAATAAACCTTCATTTGCGCAACATGAAACAGTACGCCACATACAACACGATCACATCGCCCACTGGCACCACCGGAATCGAGTATTCGGAGCCAAACTCCCCATGACGTTGGGCCTTCAAGGCGCAGGTTCGGGCGACCTATCGAATCAAAGGCGCCTGAATCGATCATGGATTGCAGCCGCTGGACATAAACATCCCGTGACAGACATGAAAACCTGGTGAAATGAGTCAGCTGTGGCGTGACACGTGCAGGTGTACCATTGTCACCACCTGCCTCGAAGATCCTTGGCTGAAGCTCGGCGGGTTCAGCCGTACCCGCAGGGTCCCGAAAGCAAGATTGGCAAGCAACAAAGCGACATGAATGCGAACACCGGAAGTACTGGGTCTCACGTTGGATTCGCGCATGGCACAAAGAGCAACGTCGCTGTGCGCCACACCGAGCAGAAGTATGACGCGAGCAAGCATGTGGGTGCAAAGACTCAATGGTGACAAGGGGCGGGTGAGGGTACAAGCCTTATTCCTCAACTTCGCGCGGTTCCGTCAACCAAGATTCCGTCAACCGCGCTTCCTTCAACCATGTTCCCCGCTTCCCTCAACTCAGATCGTGCCGATTCTTTCAACCCGCATCGCCCGCTTCCCTCAACTCCCGAGTCTGTCAACCCCCATTGCCCGCTTCCATCAACTGCTCATTCCGTCAACTCCGCCCCCCCCCGCTTCCGTCAACACTACACTGCAATCTAAGCATTTCGCCCGCTCTTTTGCCAGTCTCGCATTGACAAATAGGGCAGACGTAAGTTAGTTTAAACATTTGTAGGTTTTATTTAGTTTAACACAGGAAAGCAAACTTTCGCAGTCTTTAGTTTGAACACAGAAAAACACATTTTCGGAGTCGCGCTTAGGCACCAGTTAGTTTAGACATGGAAAACAAACCGTTTATAGGGTTCATTTACTTGAAACACAAAAAAAACAAACCTTCGGAGTCCCGGGTAGGCGCAGGTTAGTTTAGACATGGAAAACAAACCTTTTGTGGCGTTTATTTAGTTTAAACACAGAAAAACACATTTTCGACGTCCCGGGTAGGCACCGGTTAAATTAAACATCGAAAACAAACCTTTTGTAGGGGTTATTTAGTTTGAACACAGAAAAACAAACTTTCGGAGTCCCGGGTAGGCGCAGGTTGGTTTAGGCATGGAAAACAAACCTTTTGTAGGGTTTATTCAGTTTAAACACAGAAAAACAAACTTTCGGAGTCCCGGGTAGGCGCAAGCGAGTTTAGACATTGAATTCAAACATTGGGTTTATTTAGTTTAAACACAGAAAAACCAACTTTCGGAGTCCCGGGTAGGCGCAAGTTAGTTTAGACATGGAAAACAATCCCTTCATAGGTTGTATTTAGTTTAAACATAGAAAACAAACTTTCGTAGTCTTGTTTAAAGACAGGAAAAACAAACTTTCCGAGTCCCGGGTAGGCACACTTCGTATGGCTTCTTTTTCTGTGTTGGAAATTTGTGTCGTTTTCGCTTTATATCATCTTGGTTGTCTTAGCTTTTTACCTTTCTAAAGCGATTTCGTATGGCTTCTCCGTTGTACTTCATTTACCTTTTTCTTCGCTCTTGACCCCCCTGAAGCGAGTTCGTGTAGCCTCTTCGTTCGTGTTGGAAAAGACGTTTTTGTGTACTCTTCAGCTATACAGTATTTACTTTCTTTTCTTCGCTTTTAACCCCTTGAATTTAGTTCGTGCAGCTCTCCTTCTTATTCTTGTAGGAAAGACAAGCTCCACTTTTCTTCTCTTTTTGCCTTCCTAAAGGGATTTCGTGTGGCTTCTTCCTTGACGCTGATGAAATGTTTGTGCTTAGTTTTCGGTTGTACCTCATTTACTTTCTTCTTCGCTCTTAACCCCCCTGCAGCGATTTCGGGTAGCCTCTTCGTTCTTCAACCCCCTGAAACGATTTCGTGCGGCTCGTCTTCTTCTTGTAGGAAAGACGAGCTTCACTTTTCCTCTACCTTTCTAAAGCAATTTCGTGTGGCTTCTTCCTTCATGTTGATGAAATGTTTTGCTTTAATTTTCGGTTGTACCTCATTTGCTTTTTTCTTCGCTCTTCACGCCCCTGGAGCGATTTGGTGTGGCCTCTTCGATCGTGTTGGAAAAGACGTTCGCTTCGGACTTCCTGAAACGATTTCGTGAGGCTCTTCTTCTTTTGTAAGAAAGACAAGCGCCACTTCTTTGTTTAGCTTTGTACCTTTCTGAAGCGGTTTTGTGTGGCTTCTTCCTTCATATTGATGAAATGTTGTTTATTTGCTTTGTTCTTCGCTTTTAGCCCACGTAAAGCGATTTTATGTGGCCTCTTCGTTTGTGTTGGCAAAGACGTTTTTGTGTAATGTTCTGCTATACAATGTCGAATCTTGTTCGTCGCTTCTGACCCCCGGAAGCGATTTCGTGTGGCTGAATTCTTCGTGTTGGAGATAACGTTTTCAATTAGTTTTTGGTTATGCAGTATTTACTTTCTTTTCTTTGCTTGTAACTCCGTGAAACGATTTCGTGCGGCTAATCCTTGTAGGAAGGACAACCTCCACCTTCCGAGTGTGTTCATCTTCCCTCGGGAGTGTGTTTTTCCTTGGACCAACAAACCGTTCCCCCCAGAGTTTGTTTTCTGTAGGAAACACAAAACCCTCCCCCCAGAGTTTGTTTTTGTAGGAAAAACAAATCCTCCTCTACCCCCGCGCCGCCCAAACCACTCCCCCTAGCATCACTGAAACAAACAAACTTCTCCCATAGGAGTTTGTTTTTCACCGCTGAAACAAACTCACCTGGTCAGGGTTTGTTTGTACCCGCTGAAACAAACTCGTCGAGACGGAGTTTCAAGTTGGTTTGTTTTCCTCGCCTCCCCAACCTGGCTCTTCGTGACCCAACCAAAAGATGATCCGCAAACGTTTGTTTTCTTCCGGCGAAACAAACCCAACCCCTCCAGTTTGTTCTTCCTAGTGAAAACGAACCCCTCCCCCCAGGGTTTGTTTTCTGTAGGAAGCACAAAGCCCTCCCCCAAAGTTTGTTTTTTGTAGGAAAAACAAAGCCCTCCCCCCAGAGTTTGTTTTCTGTAGGAAAAAACAAACTCCCCTGCACCCCGCCTTCGGAGTTTGTTTTCCTAGTGAAAACAAAATCCTCCCCCCAGAGTTTGTTTTTGTAGGAAAAACAAACCCGGGGCACAAGAAATCCGCGTGTTTGTGGTTGAGTAAGTCCTCGTGGCTGGGGTAGCACGCGTGTCTGTAGTTGGAGCGACTCTTTCTGTATAGGTTGAACGAAGCAGTTGTTTGGGTTGAAGGAATCATTCCCGGGGACGTGGTTGAGTGAATCTGCGTTGTTTGGGTTGAAGGAATCATTCCCGGGGACGTGGTTGAGTGAATCTGCGTTCTGAGGTTGAAGGAATCAGGTTTTGAGGTTGAAGGCATCCGCGTTGGCGGGTTGACAGAATCCGCGGGCAGTGGTTGACGGAATAATCGGCGAAAAGTTGAAGGAATCCGCGCGCGACCGGCGGGTGAGCATAAGCAGAGATCGGGTTTTGCGCATTACGAGCAACAGGCGGTGGCTCAGAAGATGCACGGGACGGAGGCACAGCATCGGAACAAGGCCCTGGACCGGGCCAACCCGGCACAGGACCAGCAGGGGGGGCAACAGAAGCACAAGTACGGGCTGGATTTAACGGCTGACCATACAACACTTCGGCACCGGCCTCGCCATTATTGGCAATGTTGAGTTCACGCTGCCAACCGCCAGTGTTTCGGAAGTGCGTTGCAGCAGAATCCAAATTCGAAGCAAGCCTGTAACCGCTAAACACCTGCAACAAGAAATCCTGAAGCTGATTCGGAATGTGGCCATCCCTTCCTATGACCCCCGGAATAATCAGGGCCAGCGTTGCATCAATATCCTCTTGTCCAGCACTAAGTTCACGCAAAAGGTGGGCAGCGGCAGCATCGCCAGTGCGATTGAAATTCTGCACCATGGAGACATCATGCTGGCAAGAGATTTGCAACAACGAGAAAGAAACCATGCGAACGTCGGCCTCGGTCAAACCCAGTCGATTCCTAGCATAACAGTGCAATCTCGCTTCAACGTTCGAGCCAATCAACTCCCTTGTTCCCGAGAACGCTAGAAGCCGAAGCCTCTACCTGCCACGAAATCTATCTATCAGAGAAACACAACTTTCCATGCTTCTCCGGGTGAAGTTTGCAGTCGATTTTTGGCATAAAAAAGTAGATTGCCCGCATCTACTTGCCACATGAAGCATCGTCACGAAAACTCTTTGACCAGGGCCAGCGACGGGGTTCGAGGGTATTTTTGCCATGGCGCCTGCTTGCCCGGTGTGCCAAGCCACAGCGGACGATGATCGACGGCGCCGCGACTTCGTCGCCTACGGAGCGACGCTGTGCTGCGACGTGACCTTGGTGTCGCCGCTTACACGCGACGGGCGCCCACAGCCCTCCACTACCACCAGAGATGGTGCTGCCCTAGCCGTTGCTGAACGGCGCAAGCGCGCTGCCTACCCTGAGCTCCTCCGGCGAGGGCCGCAATGGCTTTGCGTGCTCGCGTGCGAGACCGGGGGGCGCTGGAATGACGAGTCGCTCCTCCTCATCTCCGAGCTCGTTCGCCTCCGCGCCCTGCGAGCCCCCGCCGGGGAGTTGCCACCCAGGGCTGGTGCAGGCATTGGTGGGGCCTCTTCAACGTGGTTGGACGTCCTGCACGACGCGTGCCCACCTTTGCCCACCCGCCTGCCGGCTCGCTGAGCCGCTACGGCCGTAGTCTGCAGGTGCACTGGGACCGCGCTTGGATCGCTCGAAAAATCCGTGGGGAAGAAAAGGATATCAACGCGCTTCGGCAGCCTGGCGCCCAGCGCACCCCCTGAGCTGCCCACCCATCCTACGCACGCAGAGGCGCCTGTGGCCATGCCTGCAACCTCAACGCCAAGTGCGGCACCGCGCGACCGCAGATTGCATCGACAGGCGATCAGGGGGCCCAAGCAGCTGACGACTGCATCGATGCAGCGCCCCTTCTCACCGACGACAACGCCCCTGCCGGAGCCTCGCAGGGGGGCGCAGGCCACTCCGCCCTTGTTGGCATCCCGGCTCTTGCGTGGTCCAGCCCCGATGCTGTCGACCTCGCTGCCGAGTTCGGCACGCCCGTGCCTACCATGCAGAGTGTGCCGGCCTTCCTGCGAGCGGGCGTGCGACAAGCGTTCGTCTTCAGTTTGCGAGCTCTTCGAGAAGCGTACAGGCGCGGTCTACGAGAAGCGTACACGCGCGGCGTGGCCCTCCAGCAGACCCGCGCTTGGAAAGTGTTCCTGCTCTCTCCGCGGTTGCTGCTGCACCGCGCTCGCGAACCGGGCACGGTCGGACGCGAAGCCCTTCTGCAGCGCATCCGGGACTTCCTCGCTGGACGATGGAACGCCTTGTTGGGGACAGCATGGGACAGCGCGAGCAGCAGCAGGCGCGCCACGCACCAACCGCACAGCCGCAGTCCCCGATGCTGCTGGGGAGGAGGCTGCGCGTGCCCTGCGCCGGCCTGTGCCAACGTGCGGAGGGGCGAAGTATGGCGAAGTCTTCCGAGCGCGAGGCGTCCTCACTTCCGCAACCGTCGCGCCGGGCACGCGCCGCCCGCCGGCGGCCCTGCAACACGTGCCTGCAGACATCCTCAACTTTCAGCCCGCCTCGCGCGTGCTCACCGACGCCGCCGTCGCTCAAGCTCTGCGGACCGCCAGGCGTGGCACCGCTGCTGGGCTGTCGGGCGCCACGTGTGAGCTCGACGATGCCGACGCACTCGAGCTGTTTGCGCACGCGGCCAACCTTCTTGCCGCTGCACGTGTGCCTGCAGATGTTACTGACGCCTTGGCCTTATCTCGGCTCACCGCGCTCCGCAAGCCCGGTGGGGGCTTGCGTGGCATCGCCACCGGCGACACTTTCCGGCGTCTCGTGTCGCGCAGCCTTGCACGGATGTTCGCTCAAACTTTTGACGAGGCGACCCGTCCGTACCAGTTCGCGCTGCAGACCCGTGCGGGCACCGATGCACTGTCGGGCATGCTCCGGGCCGCTGTCGACCTCGACTCCGCGGCAACCATCGTGTCACTCGACGGCCGACGTGCCTATACGATACGATCTCGCGTGCCGCGTTCCTGCGCAAGCTGCATGCAGGCCGTCGTTCCCGCACTCGTCCCCTTTGTGCGTATATGTGGTACGGAAAGCAGTCCACCTACTTTCGGTGGGACATGGTAGGACGTACAGGCCAGCGTCGTACCATCCGTCAGGGTGAAGGCTGCGAACAAGGGGATGCTCTGGCCCCCGCGCTCTATGCACTCGGCCAATACGACGCCCTCGCCGCCGCCGATGCGCACCTGCGCCCCGGAGAGTGCCTGGCGGCCACACCCCTGCGGGCACGCGACTCACTTCACGTTGTTACCACTTCCATCGAGACATGGGCGGCCAGCACCTCCTGGTATCGCCGAGCTCGGGGCGGGCGTGTGGCGCGGGGATGCGCACGAGACCGAGCGCGGGTTCGTCGCGTTAGGCACTCCCATAGGCCACCCGAGCTTCGTCGCCGCCCACACCGATGCGCGCCTGCTCGAAGAGGGGCGGCTGCTGCATGAGCTCCCTATGCTGCCCGACCTCCAGTGTGCATGGCTCCTTCTTGCCATGTGTGCCTCGCCTCGCGCCGACCACCTGTTGCGGACCCTCCCGCCCGACCTCTCTGCCAGCTATGCGCGTGGCCACGACGATGCTGTGTGGCGATGCTTGCTCGCGCTGCTGGGCGAAGAGGACGATGCGGACCATACGATGAGCGCTTGCGCCGCTCAGCGACAGCGATCATGGCACCGTCACGCGTCGCGGCGGAAGGCTGAGCGCGCCCGTCGCGTGGAGAGAGACGTCGCAGCACAAGGCTTGCTACAAAGTCGAGGCGACGGCGATCGGCGGGATCGACGTCCGGGGCCGACATGCGTGCGAGCCATTGCTGCGGGACGACCTGGCCCTCAGGTCCGACAGCCTCACGAGCAACGCGCACCCAGGCGTGCTCCAGGGGCTTGGCTCTGCGGCAAGAAGGCCTGTACGGGGGCAGGCGGCATGGTGGTCACCGTATGCATCGACAAGGCCACCACAGCCGCGGCCATGTTCGCCGCATCTGTGTGGGGCGACTGGCAAAGGCAGCCGCAGCCGTCGCCGCATGGCTATGAACATGCGGTCGGGCGGCAGCATGCGGCCCCCACTGCGAACGGAGCATGGCCTGGGCTGGCAGAGCGGGTAGCAACTCGGTTTCGCGGAAGTGGGTACGGCAAGCGCGGGAACCGTGATGCTGCCAGCCCTGGCACCGCTCGCCAGGCTCGGGCAGATCGCGTTGTGCGGGGCGCAGGTTGTTGAGCAGGTCGTTCCAAGACGGGCGGCCGGTCCAGTTGGTGCGGTCGAGCACGCGGCCGGCCCCCTCAGCAGCGCGCAGGCACGTGGCAGCCGAAGCAGGGCCTTAAGGGCAAGCTCGGCAATGCAGCGGGCGGCCGGCCCGAGGACAGGCAGGGCGTCAGCCCAGGCAGCGCGGATCAGCCCGGTATGCCGCAGGCGCGGTGCGCACTGCGCACTGCAAACCCAAGCCGCCCAAGCGCGCGGGCGAGGGCAGCATGGCAAGGCGGCGAGAGGGCGCCGACGTCCTGCACGACACAGCGCCCCCCACCGCGAGCCGCCGGCCGTAGTTTGCAGCGTGCACGGGGACCGGACTCTTTTGCGCAGTCGCAAAAGGTGCATGTGGGGAAAAAAGAGTTTGGTGCCAGAACATGACTTCATTGCCTGAAGCCCCACCGTCCGTTACATGGGCATGTTTAGACAGAATTGTATTTGATTTGTTTTTTTCCACGCACCTTGGTCATCTTTCTGCAGAAGTCGAAGCGGTCCCGGTGCACGAAGTTGCCGTCTACTGCGGGAGCCGACGCGGCGAATCCAAACCCAAAGGCTTACGCGAGCCGAGCCGATAGGCGACTAAGCTCCGGGGCCAACAGCGAGCATGCTCGTGCCAAGCAGGCGGTTCGCCAGCAGCACATTCCTTACTAGGGCTTAGCGGCATTGTGGGATGTTTTTTGTGTTGTTTTCTTGCTCACAACTCCAAAAATAAAAATACATCTTTTGACCATGGACAGAGATATTTTGAAGCTTCGGGCACATGAAAGTTGACTTGATTGAATTGGAGTTGACATTGAAACTACCTTATTACGGATGAGATTTGCGGTCATCTTCAATTAATCTCCGCCAAGCCAAACAAATTGTTGTATGAAACATTTCACTTTTGCGCGTCTTGATTGGCATGCCGATCTTGATGTTGCTCGCAACAAGAAAATCACACAACTTCCACATTCAACTGGGTGATTGTGGTTTTAGACACTGACGGTATCCATTTTCATAGTTTGTTGACAAGATTTTAAAGCGACGTCAGTGTTGTTAAAGCGATAATAAACTGCTGGGGATGGTGGTGATGTAGCGTACGAGAGGGAATCGGTAAGACAAGAAGACCCGTGAGCAAGAGCGACCGCCGGAGGTGGGCGACGGCAAAGGGTGGTCACATATGCAGTTAAGGCCACTAAAAGAAGACGCCTATCACTCTCGTAACGACATTCCCGGAGGTTTTTTCAGATCTTTGTCCTGCATTTTCCTTCGCACAGACAACGCAGCGATTCCGAATCTGCCCCGCAGATTTTGATGTGGATTGACCTGAATTCGGAATTGTCGCAAGCGTCGAAGGGAACATGGGACAAAGCAATAGCCCGCAAGCCAAGCAAAAAGGAAATTGCGTCAGCCTGACAAGTAATCGTGACAAGAACGCATTGCTCGGTGTCATAGTGGTCTCTCATGGCAGCTGAATTCTCTGTGGTTTGGTGTGATTGGCATGTCGTACAACTGGTTGGAGGCCCATGAGAGTCGTTGGTTATGGCATCTGCGTCGAGGCCAGCATCACACAAGCGGTACACAGCTCGGAATACCTATCAAGGAGCGGTGCCACCAGCAGCTGTTCTGATCGAGGACTTTGTGGCGGAGCGTGCGCATGACGCGGGCAAGCTTGTCGAATCATTGGACCATGAAGCCATTGTGCCGAAACATTTGCGGCGGCGCGCGAGAAGTTGGCGGCCCTTTGGTTTGTTGCGATGTCGCCCGCCAGTGATGGCGGATGCACGGGTTGTGCGACGCAAGAGGAACAGATACCGATCCATAACCACCACAAATGATTCTGCAGCGGTGCTCGCTGCCGAGAAGGAGCCCGGAACTGGTAACGTTCGTGTCCGTGTGCGGAAGCATTGGAGGCGCCCTGCCATTTTATTGAAGGCCCATGCTGTTTGGGTGCCGGCGCTTGCGGGCACCTCGCAATCCTCGCAGAAGTACCTTCAGACCCACATATGGCATGCCAAGCGAGCACACATGGAGAACCTTTGGAACCATCGGCTGGCTACCCGAAACTGTGGTCTCGGGGTTCGTGCGCTGTACCGAGGCATATCTCGGCAGTGTTGCATGCACGATCGGAGCTACATGCAGCTGATTGAGATCTTCGGGTCCGAAGACTCTATCGTACACACCTTGAATCGCTGTGGGGTCCACAAGCGCTTAGCTCTCAGTGCAAGCGCACGAAGTGGAAGCCGTCGATTTCGCTCGATGCTATATGCATGCGACACAGCCCAGCTCGTCGCTCCGGTGTTGATGTTGTGGTGCCCATCATCGTGCACCAAGCCACGAGAAACACAGGAACCCAGCAGCGAAGAGGAGATGTTGCCTTTCGTTGTTGATGTCGGGCAGGACAACGCCCCGCAACCGGACATCATGTCAATCGATGAGGATAGCAAGCAGGACCAGGTTGAAGGTTGCAAGATATGGGTCTGGGTGCATCCATCGGCAGCGGACGAGGCTCGAATCCCTGAATTTGCCCAGAGCAGGGTCGCAGTTGGGGTTGCCAATCGTGCAATGCACCGCAGCAGGCGCTCTCCAACCTCAGCTTGGCAGTGCTCTCAGTCGAATCATGGGAAGCTCCACGGTCCAACTTACACTGTTGAGTGCTGGGAAGGCTTTGTGATGTGCTTCGCCCTACCCCTACCCGAAGGCGGCTCAGCAAGCTGCCGGCACACCCAGTGGCAGCAGGTCGGGGACACCTGCTTTGGAGTTTAGTTCCAGGCGCATAATAGTACTTATTCCATCCTCCTTTTAGAATTGCGAGGTACTTGGTAGCCAAGCTGATACTGGAGGTTGTTTTGGCTTACAGCTTCGTGCTTCGGGGTGTTTGAAGAGGCTTTCTTTGGGAAGGCTTGGATTGGAGGGATGCGGGTGTGAAGTGTCCGTTGTGTGTTGGATATCTGATGTGTTCTTGGGCTCATGGAAACTCCCATGCCTCGGAGGCCTTCTGTCACTGCGATGCCGGGCCTTGGATTCTTGGAGCTTTCTGGACCGAAATCTTTGGAGGCCGTCCTTTTGGTGAAAGTTTTCAGCTCTTCTGGCTGTTGGGCTTTTGCTGACATCGGAGCTGTTTTTGAGTCGCTGACAGGTACTTGCCCGCGTGCTTCCAGCAGAGGTGGCGTGGGAGAGCAGATGATTCGGCCGAAATTCTCAAGAACATAGTTTCATAGTTTCGCAAGTGCGGATAATGCCTCCGCTCCAAGCAGCATGTTCAGGTGTGTCGAGACTCTGCTGCTACAAGATTGTGGCGACAGGCAGCCGGGCGCTGCATTTTCAAAACGCCTTTGTCGCGCCAGATTCACCTGAAGGTTTCTTCGGCCTGTGGCGGTGCGCGGGTGGTTCCACCCCACGGTGCCGTGCTAGCCATCCAGTTGGAGGCTTGCGCATCTTGTGCCATGCATTGTGCTGCATTGTCTGCTTTGAATGTGTCTGTGAGTAGAGTCTGGGCGAGCATGGCTTTCGGACCTCAGCCGGCAGCATGCCCGAACGGACGTCATTCACCGCGGTAAATGCGGAACCCAAAACGCAGTCACAACTGCACACACTGGTACTGGCAACGAGGCCGCATAGCCGCTCAGGATCGGCGTTCTCACATGTAGGGTGTTGTCTCGCGAGCTGTGCGTTATAGTGCTGCTAGTAATTACTGTAGCAAGTGGTTCGGCTCTGTAACATAGATCGTGGTTCAGCCTGGCTTGCGGGCCTCCTCGCCTTAGCACATGCGGGGTATGACCACAGCTTGGCAGAGACCTACCAGTGGGCGCATACCAGTGGGCGCAGCAGCTCACACATGTGCCCTGTTCCAAGGGGCTCCCTCCGAAAGCTTGTGACACCGAGCCGGCCTTTATAGGTAGCATGCCGACGCAGGCTGGAAATCCGATGGGTCTAAGTGAAAGCAAAAACAATGTGTAGACTTGAGTCTGAGAGAGATGTCTTTGCCTGCATACTTTGTGTGATGTTTGCGGACGATGTGCTTGTGCACCTCAGGAGTCGTTTCTAAACCAGTGCCGCCACCCCAGGTTTCTTGCTCTACATGCAGATGCAGGGGGCAGGGTGTGGGTTGCGTTAGGCAAAACGCCTGGGCGTGCAGCTGGCAGGCACCACTATGAACATTCTTTGGGAGAATCTCAGCGACAACTCGAGTCAGGCAACATAGTCAAGGCGACCATGGAAGCGAGTGGCCGCTGCCTCGGTCTTTGATTGGCTGTGTTCGGTTCACCTGCGACCGCGTCGTGTGCAGAGCACAGCGATCGGCGATCGCCTTCCTTTTTGGATCAGCATTAGGTGAGGCTTTCGAGGTCGCAGCAAGCCTGGGACAGACACAGGGTGCGTGTGGAGCTTGCGCACGCCAGGAACTGCTGCGCTGAGGAACACCAAAGCCACAAAGAGCGAGAGTGTCACATGGCGTCATCAGGAGAGGCTCCAAGCCTACAGCCCAAGCTGAGGCTCGCTCGCTGGCCGCAGCAGGTGCAGCAGTGCCTGAAGCTCAGCATTCTCAGGACAGAGGGCAACTTACACGCTTTGACGGGACTGCGCTGGGCTTCCCGCAGGCCACCTCTGGGAGACCGTCTCGATGGAGGCAGCAACCCTTCGCGCCGTTCACGTTGATCAGTGTGGCGAGGGGAGCTTGCCTTGCGCCAGGATGGACTCGATGTTTTGTTGGTTTTCCGTGGCGGTGGCAGGATAGCTGACTGTGCTGCTGGTGTGGACGTGATCCTTCCAGCAGGTGTCCAGCTCTGTTCTGCTCCTGCGGCCTTGCAACATCTTGCAAGTGCATGGCATGTTTCTCATTGTTTCTCATTGCATGCGCATGTCAGCTCGTGGGACTGCGCAAGTCTCCGCATTTGAGGATGTTAGCAAATGTTAGCAATGTTCATCACTGTGATCTCTTTCTTGTGAGCCCGTGCTGCTCAAGCACAGCGAGTGACCATGCCCCCGGCTTGTTGCGGCCGACTCGGGACGGACAACACCCCTCTGGCCAAATTTGCCCATGCCCTCAAGTCTGAGAGCACAGGAGCTTCCGGGCAACCGCTGGCAACGAGCCGGATAGCTTTTCCAATGTATGTGATCCTCACGGATGTTTTATTCAAGATGACCAGGTTCAAGAAACATGAGGAGCTGAAGGCGGAAGGGGGGCTCGTTCTGTTTACTAGTGCCCTGGGGAATGCGGTTTTTGTGTCGCACGAGTGGGCGGGGGAAGCCCATCCAGATCCAACAGGTGAGCAACTGAAGGTGCTGCAGGCAGCTTTGAAGGCCCTGCTGTTCGATTCTTCCAGCATTCCCGTTGACATCAATACGGAGATTCTTTTCGGCAAGCAGCCGGGTGTCTTCACAAGCGACATGCGGGCTCGACCGCTTTTCGTTTGGTATGATTATTGCTCCTGTCCGCAAGCGGGTGCCGTGCACATCTTGGAAGAGCAGCAGAAAGCCATTAACAGCATTCCGGCCTACGTTGAGAATTGCAAGTATTTCTTCATTTTGTGTCCGCAGATTCGACACAGCAAGAAGGATGCATTGCTATCGAAATCAAGCTGGGGCATGCGAGGTTGGTGCAGGCTTGAGAGGCTGGCAAGCCAACTGAAGCTGCACGGCGCATCGTGTTTGATTGAGGTACGCAGCGGAAAACACCAAACTCTTACCATACCGTATGAATACCTCAGAGAGCCCGTCTTTGAGGGCGTTTTCACCCTGGATGCAGATAGGGCACGCATTGTCGGTGTCGTTCACAGCCTGATCAGAAAGAGGCTGTTGTCTTACTTGGTCGCAGGCGATTTTCACAATTATCGCATGCTCTTGAACCTGCAGCATGTGCATTTTCGCGGCAGCCCTGTCGAACCCATCCGCGATCTTGTGCCAGGTTTCAGAAGCCAAGAGCTCGACCCAAGTCAGTTCTTCCTCGACGAATATCTGTATGAAGCAGGCTTCGAGGACGGCAACAGACGAGTGGAGAGCGGGTGGACGCCACTATGCTACGCAGCATTAGGAGGAAACCCCTTGATTATTGCAGCCTTGCTTGAAGCACGGGCATCTCCCAATGATAGCATCCGCAAAGGGGAGAAACCCCTGGCCCTGACGGCCGGCACTTCCGTACTCACCCTTGCGGTTGTTTTCCGGCATAGTGAAGCCATGCGAGTTCTACTGGAGCATCGGGCAGACGTGAATGCCAAAGACAAGACGGGATCCACAGCAATGCACTATGCATGTGCAAGCAAAAACATGGATGCCGTTGATATTTTGCGTGCTGCTGGAGGCAGCACCACAATACAAAACAGTGTGCACTTCTCCCCGCGGGCCTTGTCTGGAGGAGCTGGTGCAGGCCTGCACTGCAGCAACAAGCTTATCTGCAGGGCCTTTGGAAGTGTAAAACTAGCCATGCAGGAGGAAAAAATATATAATAGAGGTAGGTGTAGCTCCGACCGTTGCAGGGGTTGGAACGAGGAGCCACGCATGCAACAGCATTCCCGAATCGGCTTCTCAGCCAAACTAGCTGTCCGGTCTGATTGGTGGCCCCGATCCTTTCGCAGGCTTCCACGAAACAAACCACCAATTCTATCAACACAGCTGAAATCGAGAGCGTTGAGGTCAGACGTCTCAGTAGAGAAGGCGAGGTTGTGAGAAAACATGGCTCATGCGTTATCGCATCAGTGAGTGCCGATCCACCGGATGAACCGAGCCATGCGTAGCCTATAGACTGCTAGCGGAAGTGCAAAAGCATGTTTTGTCGCTCTCACGGTGCCTAAGAGTGCCTCATGAAGATATCTGAATCGATATCCCGTCATGTATATACCGCTCTGGACGATCGTCAAGCAGTCCTTGTCCATGCAGTGCTCGCAAGTCTTGTCCGATGTAAAGGTCATCTGGTCACATGATTTTTGCAAACGAACCGGTCTAACTTCCCCTGAAGCGCAAGCAGTGAAAACTTCTCGAACGGTATTCTGTGTTGCGGAAGGCGAAGGGTCCGTGGACGTCATCAGGGCACTGCTGCAAGATGCTCCGCGTGCCGAAGTTTCTAGAGCTCTTCACTCGTCAATATTGTTCGGTGCGGCTTCTGCTGAAGTTGTTGCTGCGCTCATCGAAGCTGATGCTGACATCGACCAGCCCCTGGCCTTCCCTCCGCGGAGTCCAATTGGTATAGCGTTTGCAATTCTGAGCGCCATGCATCTGTGGCGCGCCACTCCAACCAGCATGTATGCTTATCACCATTCGGGTGCAACCCCTCTGATGTGCAGCATTCTGTGTGGTTCCTTCGAGGCAGCAGCTGTACTCATCGCTGCTGGGGCAAGAGTGGACATCCGGAACCGTCGTGGCAAAACGCCTGCAGATTTGGCTGCATTGCTGTCTGCACCTGAATTCATCATTGCGGGAATACAGGGGAAGGTGGGAATCTGCGAGGACTTGGTCGTGAAATGTTTCACCACTCAGTCTGTGGCATTCTAGATCATGCCGCATGAATGCTACGGGTTCTGCCTGATGCCGCATAGGCTTTTCGTCAGGCTTTCAAGATTTACTTGCAGCTTCGTGCTGATGTTGCCCGCACCGGATTGCTCCGAAGGCTCCTAAGGAGAATCAGAGAGGAAGAAGCGGGTTGATTTTCCGGGCGAACCCAAGGTTCGCGTGCTGTTTAGTTACTTAGTACAAACCGACCCCATGGAAACACAGCCCTCGTGGCTTTTCAGAGAGACCTGGTGAAGGGATGTGAAGGGGATATTGGCCAGGCTGTGTGCTTGATGTCCGTGGCAGGAGCAGAGGGAGTTCAGTCTGCAACCTGCCTTTCTCTCCGCTCGGCTCTCTTTCCCCGCTCTCTCTGTCTTGGGCTCCCTCCCTGTCCCTGCAGTCAGGCTAGCAACTCTTCCATGTTATTATCAGCAAAACTGATCTGTGATCTTTCGTTGCTTCTCCCTCCCTCCCCCTTCCTCTCCTCCCTGCTCTCTCTCCCCCGCTCCCTCTCCCCCCTCCCTGCCTCCCCTCGCCTCCCCTCCCTGCAATCCTCCCTCGGTTTCCTTCTCTATCTATCTAGCATTATCTAGCTATTTGTCTAATCTAACCTTGATTATACTGTTTTATCTATCTATCTATCTGTCCGTCAGTCTGTCCGTCCGTCCGTTTGTCTGTCTGTCTGTCTCTCCCTTTCCCTCCACCCTCTGATCCTTCATTCGCTCGTTCCCTCACACTCTCACTCTCTCGCCCACTCTCTCACTCTCACCCTCCTGGCTCTCACTGTCGTCATTCTTAAAAAATAGCAATTCAATGCAGTTCCACGAGGTGTAATTGACTACCAGGTCTCTGGATCAATTTCGCGTGCTCTGTGTGCTGGAGGTATTTCTCATGTGTTTCACCAAGTCGGGCCAAGCCTCTGTAATTTTCTTCGTTCGGCATATCTTGGCACCGACAGACCGGCGCTTGCAGAGAAAAGCCGTGGATCGCGTGCGACAGCATATTGACAGGAGCATCGTTGCGACATGGGAAGACACGACCATGCCATCTTGACAGAGACGTAAAGCACAAGTGGAAATCGTTTGTTGTGCCGAAATGCCCGCAGATATCGCCCATGGGGCCAGACATCGGTGCCAGTGTCAGGTGCTTGCCACAAGCTGTGGCCAGGTTCCAAGACCGGCAGAAGAGAGCGCGCTAGAAGCCGTGGCTTGTAGATGATGCAAGCTCTGACATGTGATACACAGAATGATGCTGCCGGATGGCAGGGTCACCACGCAAGCCCAGGTTGCGGTGCTACTTTGCCGGCTGTCGAGCCATCGGTGTGCGTGATCGCCACTCGCTGCTCTCTGATGCAGCTCTGCCGGACCCTGAACATCCTTGAACAGCATACGAAGCTTAACAGATTGTCTGTTCTGTGTCTCTATAGGCCGGAGTTTCCTTTCGATTTTCCAGATACGCAAGCTGGACAGCAGCAATCAGCCCAAGAGGCTGGTCCAAAGATTGCATTTCATGTTCCCGTCCTCATGTCCGCGTCTGCAGCCAGGGTTCGGAGTCGCGGGCTCGCTTTGAACGCCGACCACCTGCCAAGCGCCCCAACTTTGAGTTGTACTGAACTGAGATGCTTGCTGATGATGTCTGATCCTGGCCATTGACAATCTACAGCAATTTGTGTTGCTACTCGACAGGAACAAGACACTAATTTTGAGCAGTAAGGCTCGCCGTTCATTCTCCTCATCTACTTGACTGGGGCTTTGATCCCAGCAGGGCAAAGTCACTGCCAGGTTCACATGCACGGCTGTGTTGTGGTCTCTACAAAATCTGCTCAGGTCTTCTTGCTGCCAAGGACGACCAGCAGAGGCCATCTCACAGGAGTTTCAGTGGCATCCATGTTGCTTCGGTCACTCCCGACATCCTGCTTCGTCCAGAGGGCCTTTCGCGCCCCTCAGCCCACGATGATGAGAAAGAAATACACAAAGAGAACGAGCTTCGTGCCTGTGGCTGGGCGGATCCCGTCCTGAACATGTCGGCGTCGCCGACCAAACACTTGTCGTAAAGTTGTACGATGTTTGAGATGCGCTTGCGAGCTTCGAGTTGGAACAGTTAGTGGAGGCGTTCGATCTAGAGGTTCATCCTGGAGGGTACAGCGACATTCAGCAAAGCCTGAAAGTATACGCGAAATACACTTCGAACCGGGAATAACAGCTCGAGCATGGTGAAGCTTGCGGCAAGTCAGCTTTCATTTGGTGTTAGCTTGTTTGGGCAGCCGCTACCGCACCAGTGCCTATATCGTTCATATCTGAAAACCGCTAACCGCAGTCGCGGCTTTGGACCAATCTCCAGCTTCGCAAGCAACTTGGTCTCTCGCATGATCTACGCGGCCTTGCGGCCTCTGAGCAGTTGACGCCTGGACAGAGCCATTTTATAGTTCTCGCTTGCCCGTCCTCGACGAATTAGTGGCGGCTCTTGCACCTGGGAAGCCATTAGCCGCCAAGTGGGTTTGTGCTGTTTAGAACATCGAGAGCTTCGGGAGCCTGCTATCTGTGTCTTTGCCATGTGAAGCGCAGGCCACAAGTGTGCCGGACCAGCCAACTGGTGCTGCTCTCACAGCCGTCCCCTGTTTGCAATGCAGCAGGCTACGCATGTCCTTGCCGTCTGCAGATCTCTCAGAAACGGCTTTGTCCGAGGCGAAGTTGTTTCTCGCATCCAGGCCCTCGCAGGGGTTGGGGCGCATGTCGGATGTCCTCCGTTTGTGCACGTTTCGGTTTGAGAGAGCAGGTCGAGGTCTGGTTCAAAAGCCTTCCACCGATGACTCGGGACCTTTGGAGCGCAGTTGACAACTGACCTGGCACAAACCCCAGGCTGTTGACCGAAGGTGCCAGAAGAGCTCTTGGGTGGGATCCTGGTGGAATCCAGGTGGGGGGCATGGTGGACCCAGGTGGAGCCAGGTGAGAGTGTTTCAACATGGAGCTAGAACGGTTGACCCGCCCCAAGAGGCGAGCCGGAAACGAGCTGAAAGTAAGGCCGAATGACCCACCAGACAACACTACATAACAGAAAACAACAACCAGGCACCACACTGATCTCATGTGCATTGACTACAGGCAGCGAAGGCTTGTAGCGGGTTTAATCATTGGTACACTTGCAGGCCTTCTACCTGTGACCGTTCGAAGCGCTGGGCGTGGTATGCCTCGAGGCATAGTGGCATAGTGATTGACAAGAGGAACGATCTAATTAAGCCATTCACTGAAAGGCAAGTGCCATCTCTACCGACCTTCCGCCGAAGACCTGAATCGTGTGAAAGCACCAGGCCTTGAAGCGTGCACGGCAAAACACTGGTTGCAATGGGCGACCAGCATGCATCCTGGCGAAGCTTCCATGACGGATCTGGCAGGAGTTGGAAAACCTGGTGGCCATGGCCGTGGCGAGTCTCGCGCGGGCCCCTGACGTCTTCAGGCTATTCGCAGTCACGGCCACATTTCAATATCGACTAAGGCCCCATGCGCGTGCCTTCGAGGGACCACCCACCCTCCCTTGGGCCGCTTGACGTGCTCCGCTTGGAGGACTTCCGGAACCAACTCCTCTGAGCCTTTGCCTCCGGTTGATGGAACCTGATGAAAGGCCAGAATGAACATCTTGGCTCTCAGAGTCGCGGCAATACATATGCAAACATTTCTGCCGGGAAGAACAGAGATCTTCTTTCAGCATTTTATTCCTAAGCCTCACTTTACAGACGCACTGCCTGACGTTTGATCCCGCACAAGTGATGGCCCCCTGCGTGGTGCCCATGAGAGAGCTTGCCAATGAGTCAGAAGATTTTGTTTCTCGGCCTTGCAGGGTCACATCATTCGCAGCTGCAGCATCTGGGAATCTAGGTGCCATTTCGAAGCCAAGGACTTCTCCGGTGCTTTAGGCACACGATATCAGGAGACGCGGGCTTTGAGGACCAATCCTCCAGCGGGACTACGTGAGGGCTTACTCTCCCACTTTACAGCGTTCCAGCTGCGGGCGAAGAGTACCCATGAACATGTGGAAGCCACGAGAGCGCCAGTGGAACCTCGGCTGCATCAAGTACCTGCCCGCCTCCGAGACAAATTTGGCTCTGCTTTCCAGCGGCGTGGTGTGTTGCAGGACGTATTCAAGGCCGAGCAGATGTTGCTTGACTATGCTGAGAGCCTGGCTCGTGAAATCGCTGCAGGACGCGATGAGCAACTCAGCTTAATTCGTGCAGTGGTCCCCCTTGCGAACATGAGAAGTGTTTATTTCAACTGCACTTCTTTCGTTAAGTGACTGGACCGAAGGATGTGAATCGTTTTTGCCGAAAAAAGCGTGAAACTTTGTGCGCAGAAGCAAGCGGAAGCTCCTCGGAAACAGCTGGTCCGCGCGAGGTCCGCGGAAGCTCCACCTAAAGATGAGTCATGCCGCAGGTATCCTGTGTTTGGCTCTGAAAGTACGCAATATGTGTCCGAAGAAAAAAACACAATGTGGATGATGATGCAGGCGACGGTGATGAGGATGATGTTGATGATGTTGATGGTGAAACCTATAAACCGTAAACCTGTAACCTAAACTTTGTCAGCAGACCTCGTACCGCATGCCTCACCTGGATCGTCCGAGTGTGAGCGCCGAAACTCAAGTAGTCATTTCAGAGGCCAGAACTGCAAGCCCTGAAGCCGAAGTCACAAGAACTCGTGTATGTGACCAGAATAGGGGACATGCGCAGGAGCTCTGCGGAAGGTGGACCCCTGGAAATTGATCCCGAGCCCAGTCTCAAGATGCAAAGACCGCGACGGCTTCATTCCTTCATAAGCTGCATTTCGGAAATCCCAAAGCCGAAAATCTCGCACACACACACACACACACACACACACACACACACACACACACACACACACACACACACACACACACACACACACACACACACACACACACACACACACACACACACACACACACACACACACACACACACACACACACACACACACACACACACACACACACACACACACACACACACACACACACACACACACACACACACACACACACACACACACACACACACACACACCACACACACACACACACACCACACACACGCACACGCACACGCACACGCACACGCACACGCACACGCACACGCACACGCACACGCACACGCACACACGCACACGCACACGCACACGCACACGCACACGCACACGCACACGCACACGCACACGCACACGCACACACGCACACGCACACGCACACGCACACGCACACGCACACGCACACGCACACGCACACGCACGCACACGCACACGCACACGCACACGCACACGCACAACACGCACACGCACACGCACACGCACGCACACGCACACGCACACGCACACGCACACGCACACGCACACGCACACGCACACGCACACGCACACGCACACGCACACGCACACGCACACGCACACGCACACGCACACACACACCCACACGCACACGCACACGCACACGCACACACATACACACCACATCACACACACCGCGCCACACGCAAAACAAGAAAGCCTTGCGCAGTAGTCATGTGCAGGCAGAAAGAAAACATATGCGCATGCACTACTGGCCTTTCAGGGAGTTGGCAGAACGAGATCCTTTCCGATTTCGTGCAACAAATCCAGCCGTATGCTCCATCTCTTCCAGAGTCCAGGGGTTGCTACCGGACCTGGAAGTTGGATTGTAAACCGAACCCGAAAGCCACCTAAGCCTCTTCAGATGTGTGCGCTTGTGTCTTCGCATGTAAGCTTGCCTCAAGATTACAGTTGTTTCTCCTTTGTTGCTGTTTGAGCTATGCGCGAAGTCTGCCCAAACATCACGCCCCCTCCTGCGGATGCACATTGTCAAACTCAGCGAAAAAGCCACCTCGGAAGAGGACCGGGGAAGCGATATACCATTGGATGCTCCTGGAAGCTACACCCTCGCGCGCGCACCGCGGAAGGGTTTCCTTCTCGCACTCCACACACAGGAACATACACTGCAGCCCACGTGCACCTTTCCTCGAGTCCTCTCCTCTTGCAAGAGTTGACAAGTAAGCACCTTCTAAAGGATGCAGAGCATAGGAAGGGAGGGCCATATGCAGTTCTGTAAAAACGGCATTCTGTGTTATGCCCGCTGTGCGTCGGACTAGCATGTTGGAAGGCTCCGCCGGTCTGGCAAGTGCCAAATGAATGCGGAGCTCAGTGCCCAGCATGACTCCCATCTGCATTGATCAAGCTTTTGTTCTTTCACAGGCAGTGTTGCAAGAAGACAGCAGGGTCACTGCCTTCTTGTCACCACAGAAATTGCAGAGGATACGCTTTGCTTCTGTCTCGCGGTGCTGGAGCTGATCATCGAGACGGCCCTTCGGCGTTATGCTCCCACTGCACCTGGGCTCTTGCGGTGGTACTGTCGGCACTATCTGGAAGGTCCTGAGCCCAGAATTTCGGCATGTAGCAGCATGCAGCCTGCCATTTCAGCACGAAGTGGTCTCGGCGGGAGCCAAGGTGAAGAGGACGTTTCCGATTGGTACCAAGGTGCGCAAGACGCGTCGTCAGATGATGTCCTGTGTGAGGATTCCCCTTTTTGGGAGCCGATCTGCCGGTTGGCGCTTGCTGACCGGAAGAGCGAAGTTGTCCAATTGTTGAAGGGGAGCTCCGCAAGACGGGACAGTCACATCATTCTGTTTTGCGATTTCCTTTCGAAGTTCCCGTCTATGCGAGAGATGGAGCTCGCTGGGGCGAGCGCCGTTGAATTTGGCCAGGCCATAGTGGAAATGCAGGATGCAGCACAAGGCATCGCACGCCAGCTCCCAGAGAAGCATCCTTTGCGGCAGCTGTTGGAAGTTTACATGAGGGCGAGCCAGGTTGACTTCGAAGCAAACCGGGACATATCCTGGAAGTATAGCCGGAGCTGGATTGAGGACTTCGTATTCAGCCATGCATGGGTATTTCCTGACCTTCGGCGTGCGGAGCTCGGAGACTTGCTTCAGGCAGTTGCCCGACGTCGACAGGACGAAAGCATCGACAACGTAGACAGGGCTTTCGTCGCAGCCGTGAAGTGTGACGTGCCAGCTTTGCTGGAGCTGCTTACTTCCATGCCGGATAAGTTTCCTCAATATTTCGTGGTGCATTTAGTGGACTTGCTGTACTATGCAGGGCGACTGTCACTGTCTGTCGAGCCCGACACTAATCTTGCACCGCGGGACTGGCATCTCATAGCATATGCTGCGGACCTGTGCCAGCCACCGCAGCAGCTGCGTTGCGCTCTGAACTATTTGCGAGCGGGCGGTGCCAGTCAAGTTGCACGATGCTTACAGGTAATGGCTGACAAGTACTGTGCCAGTGCGGTCGGTGACAACAAGTCTATGTGGGAAGCATTGTCAGTCTTGGATGACTTGGAGTTGGGTGAACTGGGTCGTCAACATTGCTGGCAGCGCGCGCGACTTCTCCAGAGTTCCAGTGATTTGCTTGGTGCTTTGTCCTGGGCATGTTGGGCAGTTGTGGGCATTCCAAGCTTGGAGCAAGAGGAGATTTGTGTGGACAAGCTAGATAAAGGAGCAGCTGATATCTCGGACTTCTGTGATGGAATTGTCGAGAACGGCATGTTTGCTCTCCTCGAGGCCCTTGCTCCAGCAAACCTGGAAGAATCCTTCGACGACTGTCCCTCTCCTTCGTTATTAGCCGCGATGGCCCCACCTGGTGCCCCAGCACCTCTGCCAACGCTTCCAGCTTCTGCTCGCCTCTACTTCTTCATCCAGCGACTTGGCATTTGTCTGATAGTTTGTGTGGTCGGAAGAATATTTTAGAGCCGGTCAGAACTGCTTCGCATCTGTCTGCACCAGGTATGCCCGCTGCCACGCATTGCATGTGGCTGGCAGGCCGACTGCGTCTTGGGCGCCTGTCCTGGTGAAGTTGTTGCTCTGCTGCCGGATGTGCTGATTTTGGGATTCCATGGTCAGAGGCCTCTGACGAAGCTGCCAGCTTCCTGAGGTTATCCCATGGTTTTGCTTCGGCTGCCGTGCAGCTTCAGGTGTTGCAGGCCGCGCCGGGAAGCAACGTTGCTTGAGCTCGAAGTTTGAAGTGTATCTCCTTCGCCCGAGGAGGAACTTTCTGGGGTGCTTGAAGAGGATCCCTGCCCCTTCGAGACAGAGGAGGTTCTTGCACTTATGCGGATTGCCAATGTGGCACCTGGGCTTGCATCCAGGTATGAAAAAAAAGCACAGCAAAGAGAGCCCAGAGCCTGAGGCAATGGCCGAAGAGCCGAAGGAGACTTCTGAGAAGGTCCGTGATCTTCACAGATCCTTGGGCATGTGCTTAAGCCGAGCCATCCTCCAAGGGTCAGGGCGGCTTGGCAGTCGCTCCGTGCCCCATACACCTATTCTGATGGCATAGGCTCATAGACTGCGCAATCCTGCGAAGCATTGCGAAGCAGTGCAAAGCCAGCGAAGCCACGCAGAACCATCAAAATCCACGGACTTGGTGAGTGGCATTTTTGTGTTGCACCTCCCTGAACTTGTTTTTAGTTATCTTTCATGTGCTTTTTCGCCTGTCGCTGCGAGGAGCCGCGGCACACTGTGTATCGCTTGAGACGACGGCGAGCCGAGGGAGCGGAGACCAGGAAAGCCGAGGCCAAGCGTGCAAGACATGAAGACATGCACTGCTCCAGTAAGCCGCACCGGCACGGTCGGCACGGACACGACAGGTGGCCGCCATCCGGCCACTGGTCGGATTCGTGACATCTGGAAGCTTCTCTTATCGACATGGCCGCTCGATGCAAAGTCCGAGCTGCATGGAGAGGGTCTGGCTTCAATAAAGTTCACTCGCACGTGAGCCAGGATGTGGTGCAGGTGTCGGGGCTGTTGTCGCCGGGGTTCTTGGTGATCTGGTACAGCAAGCAGGCACCCATGCCCTACTCCGACGAAGCAGCGCTGACTTCAACTGCCACAGTCAGTACTTCGTGCATTGGCCCGCCTGATGTCAGGTGCAGCCGGTGATGTGCCCCGATGGATTTGGCTCTGGGTCATGCTCTGATCTTTCGGTTGAATATCCAGCAGAGAAGTACAGTTGTTTTGACGCGCGAAGTGCTGTCTGCAAGGCACGGAACACGACATCCCTTGTCTACTTCCCGGTTTGGGTGTCATGGACTGAGTGGGTTCTCGGCGCTTTCCTGGTAGGTCTGCCGAGGTAGTCTCGTCTTGTTTGGAGTGCAATCCTGAGCTCAGAAGACAAGTCAGCGGGTGGGACACAGCACACACAGACATGCAAACATGCACACACGCACACATGCAAGGTCATAAATGCACACGAGTACACACACAAACATATATTTATATACAAATATGTATATATATATATACACATGTGTATATAACAGAGTAGCATAGTGTAGCACACTATGGTAGATTATGATGTTGTAATATAAGGAAATTCAATATAACGTGATATAAAACAGTATAGCCGAACATAACATAGTTAAATTCGAACATACCATAAGCACAGTGTCATAGAATAGACTATAGTAGAACGGATTAGAATAAACTCATACAGCCTTAGGCTATTCTATTATTTTCTTACTGGTATTGTTATTGTTATTGACATCATACAGAGATATTTACAGATATACACACACGAAAACTAATTCTTGTAATGCTATCACAACGCTAAATAACCATGACACTGTAATGCTAAGAATAGTAACAACACACAACACAATACAAATACAACAAAATCCATTACATAACATGTGACAGTATAACATAACGTAATGTACTAGAATACCTGTGTAGTGTTAGATAGTATAGTGTATGCAACATTCCATTAGTGAGCAGCCCACTTCCATGACTGTCCGAGGCAGTGCCTCCCTGACGACCAGGGCTTCGGATGATCGGATAATCGTGGGTTAATGGTTCAGTTCGTCGATTCAGTTCGATGTCGTGTTTCACTGCTGCTTGCTAGCAGCTTGCAGAAGTGCAAAGACAGCTTCTGCTTATCGCTTTTCGGTGTTGCATAGCAAGAAAAGGCAGGCGGCCTGTAATACCAGCGTCGGACCATCTAAGATCGGATGGATTCATAGCCCAGCGACATCGACGCATGTTTTGTGCTGGCCATTGCACTGCAAGCATTGCGTTGCCTCCAAATTCAACAACTCTTCTCCCTCTCTCTCTCTCTCTTTGCATCATGGCCTTGCGCGGTGGTACTAGGCACGGGAGGTGAGAACACAGCCTTAAAGGCCCGAGGCCGAGAGAGACGGGCATGGGAATTGGTAAAGAGAAACCGGCTGCTCAAGGGCGATTGGGGCGGCTTCTTGAGAGCATGTCCTGCTTGGACAGAATCGGCCAGCTACTTGACATAATCGACTTGTCACTCGGGAAAATCATGGGACATTGGAGTCGTAGAGTGGATCAAGTGAAACGTCGGAGCTCGGACATGTGCTCCTACCCTCCCTAACTTCGGGGCACCCGAGAGACCCGCAGTCATGTCCTGTCGGGGACCGCGTGAAGCATGGCTGCGATTTTTCCGAGCAAATGCTGCAAGATTTGCCTTGAGCAGTCAAGCAACATTAGCAGCGTTACACGCAGAATCCGCTTCCAGCACAGCAGAGGCCAGGATGTTGGCATCTTGGATTGTAATGGAGGTTAAGACTGCATCCTGAGTTAGAGCCGCTGTGCTTTCGGGCGTCGCGCGCGCTATGGCCGCATGTGCCTTGGGCTCGATTGTCATTCAAACTGCTTTGTGGACAGCATTGCCACACACCGTCGGAGATCACATTGTAATAAACCTAGAAGACAGTGTGCGGGCTTTCATGCCGGCCACTGCCTGCCACGAGAAGGTTTCAGACAACACGGTGGTTCAGTGTGATGCTATGTTACACTGCATGTACCGTGTTCTGGGCTAGGGTGGCCGAAGCTTTAAAAGGTGCCTTCGAACCAAGCCCAAGACTACCTTTGGGCTCGCCGACATCATTGCAGTCAACCTACGATGGAGTCACTCGGCACGTGAGCACGACGGGTGTTGTTAGGGCAAATACCGGCAGAATCGCTGAGGACTCCTCGCCCCTCCGATCCAGCTCTTTGCCTTGCTCGCCACTTCGGAAGTCCACCACTGCGACGGCCTCCTTGAAGCTACTTGTGCGAGCAGCGGGAGCAGATCCGTCTTCGATGCACAATCGCGACCTTTCTCCTGCCTCCTAGGCTGGAAGGAACCCCGACGCTTCGGCAGCAGCAAGCTTCTCGGTATCTTGAGGCTGCGCGCAAGACGGCCGCTGGGATGGAATTATTCGAGTATCCGTGGCAGTTGTGAGATGCGTGCAGTCGCAACAATACAATTGCCAGGCAAATTTTGCCGAACGGAGCCGACTGATCAATGACTTGGATGCTTGGCAAGTTCATCAAGTTCCATTCCGGGAGGCTTCTTTCTTTCATGGACCAAGGTAGCTTCCAACATCGCAGACGATGTTGAGGGACTGAGTGCGGCGAAAGAACAGCTCCAGGTGGTTCAGAAGAGGCTGCACATGTTGTTGCTACATGTGCTACGTCGGGATGCGGTGCTGTTGTGTTTTGTAGACGGTGCCGCAGCCAGCAGGCATCCTTCTTTCAACAGCTGAGGGTTTTGAAGACAAGTCAAAGCACGTGTTGTAATACACCCACCTGCAAAAAGATTTAGACGTTCGCAGATCCTCAGGGTCCATGGAGCCGGACGATGCGACTTTTCTCAATGTCTCCATTGCCGATGCAAAGCACTTTCCCGACTTGGCGCCAGTAAATGAGCTGTTCAGTGAGTTGGCCACATCCGATGGGTGTGCTCTCTTTGAGTGCGCCGAACTAGTCAAAGCGACGGGCGTTGATCTCATGGATTGCCCCCTGCAGCTCAACCTGAAGCTGCATGTGCGGCGCAGACTGCCCGAGGGTGCAGCACTTTTGTGGCACATGATTCTGCCCCTAGCAGTGATCAGCAAGAACCTGTTGCAACCACCACACGAGTGGGACACGTGGTTGGGTCTGCTCCCTGCAAACCAAAACTTGGAGATGTATGCGCCTGAGATGATGTTTGCACAGGCGGTGATTCACCTTTTGGCCAAGCCCGAGTATCCAAAGCTGCGGTTGCAGTTCAAGTACCACAATCCTGCGTTGCGAGCGAAGATGGCGCTGCAAAAGCAGACGGAGCAAGAACGGCGACAGGAGAAAGAGTTGCAAGCTGCAAGTTATGGGCAGCAACAATTCCAAAACCTTCAACTGGGAGGTTTGCTTGAAAAGCGGTCGGTAGAGAAGGTCGCCGAGACCACGATGGCCGCGGGGGTATCGCCGCTTGAAGCGGAGCCGGCCCTGTTGGCCGCGTCCGAGGTTGCGACCTCGCAAGATCGCGAATCGCGCGAGTCGCGGCTTTCCGAGGCGCTCGCATCCTGTCTTCAGCTCTTGTCAGAGATGTCCACCCGACATGGGATCTCCGATCCGTTGACCATCGACCGTATCTCAACCTGTGATTCTCCAGAGCAGCTTGTGAGAAGCCATTTTCAAGGCTTGACGGAGTGTCAGGAAATTCCAATGGATGAGAAAAGCCTGGCAGACAGCCTGCAGTATGCATTGCTCGGCGCACTTGACGACTTCGGTGCAGGGTCAATGGGGTCGACCAGTGGCCTCAGCGGCATCTCCGAGCCAACCAGTCAGCTTCTTGCCGTGCGAGAGCGGTTCCCACTTCTTTGGCCAATTTGCCGACAAGTTTCCAAGCTCGCAAACGACAGAGTTCGCCTAATGGAGGAAATTGAAGCAAGTGCAGATGGCCCGAACGTGGTGCAGGAAAACGCTCGGCTCCGCACTGAACTAGTTGAGGCGCACGAGAGGTACCGCAAAGGAGAAGAAGAGCTGTCTCGCTTGCAGGCACGTGTAAATGACCTCACCCTGGCATTGAGCCGAGGACAGTCCCCAGAAATTGATTTGCTTTGATGCTGAGTGTGGGCAAACATCACCATTGACTGCCGAGTGCAGTGAAGGAGTTCGGTACGGAATCGACGGCATAGGTCTCTGCCCAAAGGGCTTGACTAGGTTCTTGCCACTGGCAGCGGCCTGTGCGCGACACAGAATGCTCACAGCCTTTACAGAGGCTGAGGCTGCACGATTCTCTGGCCAAGGGTAGAAACAAAGGCTTTTGAGCGGCTTGTGCGCACTGCCGTTACAGATCCGGCAATTGGTTGTGCTCCAGGCTTCAAGTCCGTGAAGCCTGCAACTTCGAGGGCTTCGCCACCCGGCGCATTCAAAGCGCGCTGCGCTTGGCAGCCTACGATGAGCGCAGCCGCCTGGTGAAAATCTGCTTCCGGCTTCAAAATCCAACTGCCGACATCGAGTGAGTGTCCTGATGGGTGCTACGAGAGGATGGCCGGCCCTGGATGCAGCTGTGGAAGCTGGCGAAACGGCCACGGACAGGTGCCCGTGTCAACGCATCACTGTTACTGTAGCCGATGCAATCATAAAGGCCATGGAAGCGGTAGTATCCCCCGGACTCTCCTACGGTGCATGTCTTACCTTTTGCGCCTGATGTGGCTATCGGTTTGTGCTGTTTTGGGCAGGGCTTCGAGTTCACATGCTGTTGCCACGGCCTGTCGGGCGCGGGCATCCGAGGGGAATGCGGCAAGGAGATTCAAAACGAAAGTGTGTACTCATGCAAACGATTAAGAGCCAACCACAAGCAAGCAACCATTGAAGCAAGCAGGCAAGCAACCCGTGACATGTCACTCTAAATGGCTAGCGAGTCTAGCCACTGTCATCAGTGCCATCTTAGCCTGAACTCAGGTTGGGATGCCCTTGACCCTGGAGGCTTTCACATGCCGAAACCTACAAGATCTGAGTTGGAACACGCTACCCCTAGACTCACCCGAAAAAGAGAACCAGTCGATAGGATCGCAGCACGGAGCTGCAAACATGTTCTTTGTAAGAACCAAGGTGTATTTCACATTGACATATCGCTGTTACCGAGAAGAAGTAGCTGCAAGAAGATGAGGTGGAGAAGCCACAGCAATCACCCATATTTTTGAGACTCTACACCCTCAATTCAGCACCTGCAGATGCAAAGGTGTGCCTCGAAGCAAAGAGGAAGCAAAAACACGGCTTCAAACTCGTTCCCCCGTTGATGCCGGTCAGGTTAAAGGGCGCACAGTTGTCAAGAGCCAAGAAGCTTGCCTCGCTGACTCGAAAGTTGCTCAGCCATTGGCAGACTGGGTGCCTTGGCATCGCTAGTGCAAATCTCCCAAGTATTGCATCTGTCGTAGTTCAAGGGGTCGCTGCCAGTATTTCGAACTTGCGACCTTGTGTGACTGAGGATGGTTGACAGATTGCAGGAGGCGGCTTTGCTTCATCAAACTTTGCAGGGCTGCATGCAGCGGGTGATGGGGACCCGGAAGAGCAAGCAAACACAAAGATCTCACAGTCAAGGGTTTCCAGAGTTCCCCCTCTAAAGGGCCCTCAGAATTCTGCTCGTGCTATATTTGGTTTGCGTGAACTTGGATTCATGAGGTGGTTGACTCGCAAGATCTGGAACAACTGAAGACTCTGCAGCCTTGGGCAGCAAGAGCCCAACTCACAGACCACCCAGAGGGTGCAGAGCTTGTGCGCCTTGGCAACCTTGGCGGCCTTGTGTGGGAAAGTCCCCCGCTATCAGGCACGAGTGACCTGACATTCGTCAGGCAGCGCATGGAGAAGCTCAGCAGTGCGACTGCGGCTCTGCAATCCGCGCTCGACATCGTTTCCCGGCTTGCACTGGTGATGCAATCGACACAGGTTGTCACTTGTCGAACTGTGGCCTGAACGTTTGTGTCTAAGGGAACTGGACCTGCTTTCAGGGAAGCGCTTTGGAAGTCGGAGGAGGCTGTTCTGGATCCAGCTCGCTGCGAAATGCTTCAGACACCTGCTGGCAAAGTACGAGGGGTACTGCGTTCGAACGTGGGAGGAGGCTTTAGGATTCCGGCTGATGTTTTCACCGATTGTAAGAGTGTTTGTCCTGAGACTTCCTAAGACCTACGACTATCTTCGGATTCTGAAATTTGGCTCCTGCAGCTCCAGCTTGTGGTAGCTTCAGCAGGCTTGAGCATTTCTTCGGGACTCCCTGGTTTTTGTCAGCAGCCAAGCCTCGCCTGGAATCCATGCGGACACGTCGATGTCTCATGCCTTTGGGCTCCTGAGGAGAGTGGAAGCTGCCTACGGGCCGATCCGTTCCCGCAACCTGGGACGCTGGGCGGTTCTGGCTGCGAGAACGAACGGTGCAAAGGAGTGCCTCCAGCACCTTAGCTCTCTGATCTGTAGCACCAGACTTGGACCGCAATTGTGTGCATCGCGGAGTTGCCTCGCGATTTCATGTGAAAAAGTCATGGGCAGATTTACACTGTCCAAGGGAAGCGCTTGTGGTCGCCCAGCGATCTGGTATCAGCACAGAGACCGTTTCCCGGTCGTTGGAGACGGCAGTCAGCGCCAGAGCCTCTTGGCTGGTGGGTTGGCAGAACTTGGCTCTAGCTGAGTGCCTTGCAGATTGCTTACATGATGTACACTGCTGCCATTTTGCTTGTCAATCTTCAGGACATGCTTTCCCAGATCGCGCAACTGACAGTGGCCAGCAGGACTGATACAGTCATGAACCCGGCATTTTTCAACGGTGTGACTTTGACATGGACACCTGTCACCAACTAAGCAAGATTTGTCACTGCGTCCCTGTCGAAGTTCTTGCCGCATTGTTACATGTGCTGGTCGACATGTTTCTCGTCCTTGACTTGTGGCAGCCAGCCGCGGTTCTCTGCATGCGATTGTTTCTGTGGAATATCCGCAGACACCACAGAAGTATGAGCGTCGGAAGCTTCATTAACATGAATTTTGGCTAGAGCATGTGGCCGTGGACTCTCTCGAAGTTGGCTCGCTCAAGGGATTGCGCCTTTTTCAATTTGAAGTTGCCGAAATCGCTGTCACAGCTGCGTGCTGCACGCTTGTGGCGGTGTCATTGTAAAGCCATCCATTTCTGGTGCTTCATGCCTGTTATCTGCCATTCGTAGATCCTACGTGTCCTTGCAGGGAGGACGACATCTCGAAGCTGGAGTCTGCGATCCAGAGCACCAAGCAGGAGTTTTGATGGCTCAAAAGTGTTACAAGTAACACTGCCGACTGCTGAGCCTCGAGTGCTGCGGATCCCTATGATCACTCGAGGATGCGAAAACGGGCCGGCGCCGCTCAATAGAGAAACTGCTGGCTGAGGTCCGGATGGAGGCCCGAGTCCTTTGCCCGTTTGTGAGTTTTAGGTGGACAAAAACGGGTAGGTTTGTGGAAGCATCGATGCCTTGACAAAGCTTTCAGACATGATTAGAGAGTTGGAATGTATGCTTAGATACAAATGCAGGCTCTGGAACGATTATTCGACAGCAAGCAGAAAGCCAAGGTGCACGGCTCTCGGTAAAGGAAGCTTCAAGACCTGCTTGAGATGAAGATAAATAGCAGAGGCCAAGAGCCGTAGGGAAGATCCCGTTTACAGAGGCAAGTGTAGATTTGGCCAGATCCCTACCAAACCCTTCCTGAGTACGTCCAGTCAGGGTTTTCGGGTTTTAAGAGGAACACGAGGGCTTGTCGTCTTATGCCGGTAGCTCATGATGATGGGGTTGATGTTGATATGATGCTGGCCGTGATGGCAGCCTTGATGATAACAGCAAGAACTCCGGAGCAGGAAGCGTCAGTATAATGGGCTTGCTCATGGCCTGCCTTGTTTCGAGCATGGTGCCGTTCTCGAGGTTGCTGCTGACATGGCATTGTCGTTAATTTCTGACGTGTGCTTGGATTGCGGTTCAAACGGCTGCAGTTCTTATTGTTGTTCCGTTTCCGTCCACCAAGACGGTCACGTTTCGTACGACTTTCCGAACTAATGCGAATACGGCATAGAGATGTAGATCAGCCTAGGGGTCTTAAGACAATCTAAGACAGGTCAACTTGTCGAGGCTTGACAGGAGTTGGTGTACCTAAACAGCTTGCACACGGCAGTGTTTGTCAGCCCTGTGCTTGAAGAATGTTCACAAAGCGATTTCTGTTGTGCGTAGCTGCTAAGCTCATAGTCCTTCGGTCTAAAGCTGTCTCTATCGATTTTTTTGCCCGTGCCCTCCCAATCTTTCTCCGTCCCTTGCTCCCTCAGCTCCCTTCCATCCTCCCGTACTGAGGCTGGATGAGATCAAGGCGACTGCGGCCAAGCGTGCAACGCAGGTCCGGGCCTCTACTCCGCCTGTTCTAGGTATCGACACGCAATGAAAAGAGCCGGATGCAAGTCAGACATTGCAGCATGCCAACTCCAACGCGAAGGTCTTGCAGGAGCTGCCCAAGAAGATTCAAGATGCCGGAAAGCTCAGGACGGGCCGAACGAGTCTTTATTGTATCCAGCCGCTCTACAGCAAAAATCTGTGAGGATGTCCGGTGACGTGAAAGAGGCCACGCGGTTGTGCCTCGGCTCTCTGGCCAGCCAGACTTTTTAGTTCTCTGTTTTGTGGACCATGTGATCCTATAGTATAGTCTCACCACGTAGCAGCTGATGTTGTTGGTGTTTTTGTTTGTGCTGTTCATTAGAGGTACAAGAAGGCGCTGCTCGAAAAGGAAATCCGAAGTGCCATGGTCCTGTCGGACGGCCATGCGCTGCAGACAGCTATTTCCAAAGCAGGCTCTTCCGCGCATCTAGACAGTGTCCCGGACGCAGCCACCAGAGGAAGTTGAGAGCCAACCAAGCTCTTGACTCGACCGCATGCATTTCGTGCTGGTCTCCAAGGTTTGGATCCGAAGCTCTTGGAATCTGCTCGCGCCGCCTTGCGAGAAATGACTCTGCTGGATCAAGCGCGCGAGTGTGTCAAGAGCTCCTCGGCGAAAAGATCGACGACACATTGCTCAAAGCTATGCTGTCAGGACTACGCAAGCCCCAATAGTTTCTGCAGGTCGAATGAAAGTCATTAACAAAAAAAGGTCCCTCCAAGTAAAGAAGCAGCTCCAGCAAGCAAGGCAATGATACCTGGGCCGAGTTGGATGCAGCTTTTGCGAAGCTGATACAGGAGCACATGCATGCACGAGCCGCCTGGTGCTGGGAGCACTTCTGTTTCACACGGCCTCGGGGAGGAGAACTTTCCAGAAGGTCTGCGGTCTCAGAGCACGCTGGGCCGCGCACAGGCTCGACTTGAAAGGGTGAGGGGGGGAGTGCCTGCGGGTCATGGTGCGATCAGGCCCAGATAAAGACCATGCGGGAGAAGCTGGTCGAGTTGGAGGAGCTGATCAAGCCTCTCGACTTGAGACGTAACGCTTGGGACTTTCCACCCAATGCTCGTCTGCTCTTTTCTGCAAGCTCAAGGCAGCCCATCTCTTTCGAGAACAGTTCCAGCTTGCTGCAAGCAGCCAGGCTTGTTCTGCAGCAGTTTTAAGTCTCGTTTTTGCTTACTTCCGTCTCCCGTTCCGGCGAGTCACGGGCTTCCACCTGCCGATCATTATGATCTGAAGAACAGTCAAGACTCGCTCCCACGCGGTAGGCGTGTTTTCTTGAGGCCAAGGGGCTGTTCTTTGCATTGCCGTTGACCTTGGCTCGCTGTGCCTTAACTAATGGGTCATGTAGACACTTTCTGAAGCTTTTCATAGTTAAGGAGAGTGGCATGAGACAGCTGCGACTGGTGCTGGACATTCTTCGTCCACATCCCTATTTCGCTCCTTGGTTTCAGGAAGACATCATTCTAGCGAGTTACCGAGCTTGAAGCTCGATCCGGTTCAGACTCGCCCAGGCGGTGGTCATTGAGTATTCATCTTCGCACATGGCTGGCGAGCGCATGAAGACGGTCGGCCGACTTGAAAGTTTGGAAGACAGCACAGGGCATGTTCAGTCAGTTTCTGATGCACGTGGAAAGGTATCCGATGGAACCGTGTGAGTCAAAGAGGTCTCGCCGAGAGTGGGGCTGTATTTCGTGTTTATGCATCATTGTGTTTGGCTGTTTCGATGCACGCGCAAGAGGATTAGGACAATCTCAGGGGGACGTCCGGGGTAAGCACCAGAAAGGAAGCTTGGGCAAGCGCCCCAGCAGGGGCAGCTTGGACAGCAGCAGCTGGTCCTGTGAAAGTCGTAGCCCGGGGCAACGCTGGTAAGGTGGTTTGAGAGCGATGTACTCCACAACTATCATCATTGCCAGTATCCTGTTTGGAGTTGTTGCTGTATGTTTTCCCTAGGAGGATATCATGCTCCTTGTCATAGCGTCTCGTCATACGATGCTGCCAACACATGCATCGTAAGGTATGTATGACCGAGAGAGCAATCATGAGTGCTCAAGGCGGAACAAAAAGTGTGGGAGCAACGCAGCTATATCGATGGAGTGGAGCGAAGCAGCAAGTGCCAACTCAGGTTCAAGACTTGCTGCGGAAGAGCTGTAGGAACCAGTTGACCCCGAAGCAGACGGCGGAGAAGATGCTGCCTCAGCCAGCTGCTTGAGTGTCGATTGTGAATGAGTTTGTCTTTCTTTGCACCGCGAGTATGCAAGCTTACTCAGGAACAGGCAGGTGAAGTTATTGTGTGATGTGGAGAAGTGCAACCCAGAGATCAAGGCAGCTCTTGTAAAGATGCTCCAAAAGTTGCTCGGCATCTTCAGCGTCATCGAACAGCAGAAATCATGTTCCCCCCATGTTTTCAGAGTATGCAAGCGGAGACTGCTTGCTCAGGTGCATCATCTAGCAGGATGGTTGGCACAGTGGACTGGGTCGTTCAACCATGCAACTTGCATTGGTGTCGCTTTGTTGAGTCCGTGTGAGGGCGAGGGAGAGGCTGTGAGGCACCAGGTCAGGGTAGGGCGTCATGCATCGCCTTCGACGCAAAATTTGCGGAGAATGTCCGTGGGGGTCCGCCAAAGCTGGGCTGCCTTCCCAAGGAAGAGTAGCCCTACTGTGGGCCGTTCAGGCCGCTTGTGTTAGATTATGGCAAGCGTTGTTTGGGCTAGGCCTTCTGAGAAGCCTCCAAACATTGCGTGATACCCGTTGCTCCCCGCTGGGGAGGAGGACGCTGTGGTTGCATGTTTGTTGAAATGCTGGCAGGCGGAATCCTGGATTTCGGAGAAATACTGGTCGTTCAAGCGCGTTCCAGATGGTTCTAGCTAGTTTACAGCTATAGTGGTCCAGTTTGATTTGCAGCCGAGAGAACTCTCACGGTCTCCGGACATATCAAGAGACAGGCTTCTCGCAGCGTCTGCTTCTGCCAAAAGCGATAGCGATCCGCTCAAGGAAACAGCAAAGACTTAAAACGGCCGTGAGCGCACTTTGAGTTCGATCCGTTCTTCTCTTCGATCTCGTTTCTTGCAAACTCAGTCGTGTCCAGGGGTTTGTTGGCATGTTGGGCACTAGAGTACACATGCGGAAATCAAGCCTCGAAACAAGTCATAGGAGAAGGACAAACCGCCTGGGGTCTTCTGTGGAGATCGATGAGCTTCCACAGGCTTCACAAATGTTTGCTATGCATGCTGATCTTCGGGCGAAGCTCATTTTTCAGTAGATTGAGCTTTGTGCGTGTAATCCTTAGCCTTAGATGTGATCGCTAAGTCTAACCAGATCGAATTACCACCCTCTTCGCAACAAGTTTCCAGGAGTATCAAATATCTGAGTAGGAGATCAGGTCCTCATTGCAGTAGCCCCCCTATTGTCAGTGCCTTCGTTTGTCACATAAGATGTCCAAGAATGCGCTGAAGAACAATGGCTGTGCCTGCTTCTTGGCTTCCACTGGAGCACAGATTGGTTTTTTTATTTATCCCTCAGCTGGCCTAGCTGAGCCTGAGACTGTTGGTGATTCATGCTTGAGGCTGGGATGGCACCGTCACCTACGTGTCAGCGTGCTGGCCCTTCGTGCCTTGATGCACGAAGCACCCAGCAGGTGTTTTGGTATGAGCCTGGCTCAGCTGAGGCATGGCGACCAAGCTGGTTGCAGCCGCGAAAGGATATCGGCAACGTGGTGCGGGAGAGACTAGATCCTCGGACTCTTTCAGGATGCATGTTCCAGGAAGGAGCTTCTTGAGCCTTATGTTGTGTCCAACCTCGTATTGTATCTATCTAGCCCGCAGCAGGGCAATCCGCATACGTCTATGCAGAATGAAGAGACATGGATGAGCCTAATGGCTGAGTCCGAGTGGCGAGAGGGTAGTGGCAGATTCGGCCAAAACGGCATAGTTTCTTCCTGGCATGATTGTACACCTACATGGATGTCAACGGCAGAGAGAGGGAGAGAGAGAGAGAGAGATGCATATGCGCGCGGTGTAGTGGGTAAAACCCCTACACCATAGCCCTGGCGAAAGAAAGAGAGAGATGCATGTCCACGATGCCTGTTACGAGTAGTGTATTGAGGGTTCTACGTTTCCTGACCACCTTTGCATGATAGTACTCGTTTTCGCTGTCTTGATAGTGTCCTTAGTAGTGTAGTAGTAGTATTAGCAGTAGTAGTAGTACTACTACTACTACCACTACTAGAAGTTGTAGAAGTAGTAGTAGAACTGAAAGTAGTCAGTGACCAGCAGTCAGTAGCCAGTGGGACGTAGTCAGTAGTAACGAGCAAGTAAAAAGTAGTAAGTGGTAAGTAGTAAGTAGTACGTAGTACGTAGCAAGTAGCAAGTATTGAGTAGTAAGCGGTACGTACTAAGTAGCACGTAGTAAGTACTATACAGTTTGTACTGAACCCCCTGCGCATTGGCACGGGCCTTAGTGAAAGGCCCGTGCCAATGTGCAGGGAGTTGAAGCACTGACAAACAGTAAACCTGGCCTGATTCGTCGAGAGCGAGTGACAAAAAGTAGTACGCAGGTAGTAGTAGTAGTCGTCGTACCAATAGTAGTAGTAGTAGTCGTCGTCGTCGTAGTCGTAGTAGTCGTAGTAGTCGTAGTAAGTAGTAGTGGTCGTAGTAGTAGTAGTAGTAGTAGTAGTAGTAGTAGTAGTAGTAGTAGTAGTAGTAGTAGTAGTAGGCATCGTAGTAGTCGTCGTCGTCCTCGTGGTGATTTTGGTATTTGTTGTCGTTGTTGCTGTTGTTTTTCATGCTGTTGTTACGGCTGTTGTTCTGGCTGCTGTTGTTGTTGTTGTTGTTGTTGTTGTTGTTGTTGTTGTTGTTGTTGTTGTTGTTGTTGTTGTTGTTGTTGTTGTCGTTGTCGTTGTTGCATTTGCAGTTGCTGCTGCTGTTGTTGTTGTTGTTGTTGCTGTTGCTGTTGCTACTGATGTTGCTGTACGAGCGAGGAAGAGTTTCACAGAGTCGAGTTATTCCCCCCCACCCTGCGTGTGATTGCGTGTGAGTGACATGATGTTGCTGTTGCTGCAGCTGTTGTTGTTGTTGTTCTTGTTGCCGTCGCTGGTGTTGGTGCTGGTGCTGGTGTTTGTGTTCGTGTTGTGGTCGTCGGCGGCGGCGGTGGCGGCGATGGTGGGTGGTGGTGGGTGTGTAGCAGCAGTAGCAGTAGCAGCAGCAGTTGTTGTTGTGGTTGTAGTAGTAGTTGTTGTTGTAGTTGTTGTGGTTGTAGTCGTAGTAGTTGCAGTAGTAGTTGTTGTTGTTATGGTTTTGGCTGAGGTTGTGGTTTTCGCCGTCACTGTCGGTGTTAGCTTTCTTCCGCTGCATGTGTTCTTCGATTTTGTTTCTGCTTGTTGGTGTTGTTGTTGTCGGGGTTGCTGTTCATTTGGGTGATGTTGTGGTGCCGTTCGACTCGAGCCTTACTTAGCCAAGCCAAGGTCACGGGCCACGCCTTGTATGATCGCAAGCGTGGCAGTAACGTGGACATAAAGTCCTTATTCTTTGCCCCAGATCCGAACCGCCTCTTGGGCGCAATCAGGTGTTGAGTTCATGGCGGCTGCCGGAAGTCCGTCTACATGAGCATGTACTGCTCTGACCTGACAATGTAGTGGTGGCATGATGTATCGAAGTACGCACTGTGCAGAGGCGCTCTGCGGGGGTAGTGTACTTTAAAGACCGTGGACCGGTCTCCATTGTGAACACTGAGTCCTTGACCGGCCAAGGTTGCATGATGCATCTCAGCTTCGAAGAGACAGTCAGCATTCGCGTTTGATTTTGTCACCTGACGCTGGGGTTCCTTTGAATTATAAACGTAGAACTAATCGCCACCTAGCCCACCAACGACACTGCATCTGTCATCAGTTTTGCTTATCGAAAAATCTGCGAGGAAGTCGTACACGAACCTGAAGAAGCTGGGCAGCGGTGCCTTTGGTTCTGTCTACAAAGCCCAATGCCGCCTGACTGCAGAGTGGCGGGCCATCAAGCGGCTCGGCTGGGATTTGGCAGCGTTTGTCTTTCTTGCTGCCGGAGTTCGCTGAAGTGCAGACACCTCCAACACGTCTCTTGTTTTGTTGCCTTGGGCGTCCATGGGTTACCCTCCTGTCGTACCGCGCAATAGATACCAGGAAGCTTCCGCTGTCCGATGTTGCCTCGTGGCTGCAGTTTTTGTGAACACCGTCACTTCCAGTGCCGAAGTATTTTTGCAGAGTGCAAGACAATTTCAAGCTCAGGAGGATGACATGGCTTTCGTGCGGTCCTTCTGTTGGTGACATCTGCGCTGTTGGGTTTTGAAGACTGCTAGGCCGCAGGTAGTGCGACAGTCGTCACTTGCTTGCTGAGGTCTATGCGGAGCTTGAGGCCATGATTCACCTGCACCACCCCAACGTGGTCAAGTTCTACGAATCCTGTCCCATCAGATGGTGCACAGATTCCCTGTTTGAGCACAGTTGAAAGTTCTCCGCAGAGTTGACCCAACTCGTGAGGAGCACTTCGAAGAGGACTGCCTTGTGTTTTGCTTGTGGGTCGCATTGTCTACTCCTGTGGAAGACTATCCGCCTCCCAGGAAGAGATAGTGCTGCAGCAAAAAGCCATGAATTATTTCAACGCTGGCAACAGATGTTTGCAGTCGTGTCGTGCCCGATGCATGTTGTGATGATGTTCCGAGCTTGGACCTTAGTGCGGAAGCTAGCTGTTCTGCCTGTGCACGGGCTGTCCCCTCAACGTCCGGTCATATGCAATGAGAGGCAGCCTGCAGTACGTGTGTTTGCATGCCTTCGCCGATTGCCTGCAGCAGGAGAGCGCTATTTTCCTTGTCACTGAGCTTTGTGATGGTGGCGACTTCTCGGAGCTGAACCACGGGATTGACGATCCTCAGGCGCAGGGCACGTTGACATGTCATGCCCTGCAGCACACAGCTGAGCACCGTTTACTAGGAAGTGAAGCTGTTGATCCGGGACGTGGTGAAGGCGCATACGAGTTTTTGTGGCCTTTTGCAGTTGTTCTTTCGCCTCGTGCACGTGATGCTTTCAGTGAAACCCAGGCACTCGCGTATTGCCACGACCACGGGGTTGCGCACCGATGCCCGGCAGTCCCGGAGTTTTGGGCATCCTTCAAGCTATCCAAGCCCTGCAGACATCTGAAGGGCTTCTTATCTGAGGAGACTTGAAGTTTGAGAATTGCCTCATAAAGGAGAGCATTCGTGACTACAGGGTGGGAAAGGCGTGGCAGGGGTTGCGCTGTGCCCGAATGTCAAGGCACCACTACAACCAGCGTTTCGATCCTGTCGCACATCTACAGTATCGGTTCAGTGGCGGTCAGCTTACTCGACATGCTTGAGCCTGAGCACTGAGCAGGTCATCGACTTCGGTCTCTCAGCGATCCGGGCTAGAGGACACACGGACTTCAGTTCGCAGTCTTTCTGTCACTAAGACTTCGGTTCCATAGCCTGGCCTACACTCGACAGACGTGCCAGTTCGGCTCAATCCGGTCCCTGCCAAAATGGTCCATATGGCGCGGTCAATCAGCTTTGTGCGCTCGGGCTGGAAACCGAGAAGCACTGCAGTGTCGGCTGGTCCCACGCGCTTGGCACAACCTCCCGCCGGCTTGCATGCTGCGTGTGCTCCCCGAACATCCCGGACCATCGGCGCTGCGGTGGTGGCGTCGGGAGCTTTCAAGATGCTGGGTACACGAAGGATAGCTGCAACACACTTTGCATGAGCGCAACGTTGGTAAGTATGTCACTTGTCGGTTTTTGAGAGGCTGGGCCGGATTGTGCGAGCAGCTGGAGAAGTGCGGCAAGCGAGGCAAGAGGACTCGGATCAAGGTTTGGCTGTGGAATCTTGGAACAAGGTTGTTAGGAAGTCAAGGGGATGCTACAAATGTCGTGGGATGTCGTGGGTAGGATCATGAATCAAGTGTGCCTGATCTCCTAGTCGGCTTCAAAGTTTCCCTGCTTGCCCAGTGTGGCTGCTCCCGGCCTGCGAGCACGTGACCTGACCGATCCGACCACGGCACTGCACCAAAGGCCGTTTGGCTGCAACTGTCCTAGACAGTCTGTGGACTTCTCCAAAGGGCTCTCCCGGAGGTTCAACATAGCGGAGAGGAGGATTACACCAGCTAGACATGGAAAAACATGAAATGCAAACGTCGGGCACTGACCGGACAGCTGTGGCGGTTGAGGGACCGAAATCGACGTACAGCCCTGACCAGAAAGGTACCATGATGGTACGCTGCAGTACACCATGGACAACATGGAGTGGGTGGAGCAGAAAGGCGGCCTGGTCAAAAAAGTTCACACGAGGGCCTGAAGAAAGCAATGTCAGGCTTCAGCAAAGACGACCACCTCTCAGACGAGCAGAAGGGTGCCTTGCGTGCCCAAGCGCGGGTGCGCTTGGAACGCTGGCCTCGCCTGCTGGAAGAGGCATGGGCAGGGCATGCAACGAGTCTCGCACTTTCCCGACTCTGCGCCCCGGGCAGGACATGCAGCGAGTACAGCATTGCGAACGACAGGCTTTCTGTCCCGGGCCAGGCGAGCTCGTACGGGCGTATTATTAAGCGGAAGAATGAATTACCAGCCACTCAGTTCCAATCAGACATTTGGCCTGTGCTTCCTCCTTGGGTTGAGCATCGGACAGCGTTTTGCAAGAGAAGTCCGAATGAATGAACGGAAGCCGACATGAAGCCGTTGTTCTAAGTCACCATGCTAGACTACAGGAGTGTCCCTGGATGCCTCTACCCTTCGGGAGGTGGCTTTGCCCTGGGCGATCCTGGTGAGAACGTCTTCGTGATTAGCTTGGCCCGGAGGCCCGAGAAGCGCCAAAGAGTCCTGCAGCAGCTGGAGGAAAATCGCTTGCGACTCGGAAGCACCAGGTGCTGTTTGCGGAACTCGGCGGGTGGTAGTGGGATCTGTTGGGTCGTCTGCCTTCAGGAACGCGACTCTGGTCAATGCCATAGATGGAGATGGGATTCTTTACCAACAGGACGTGGAGGCTGTCTGCGACATGTCAGCGGTTAGGGGAGGGTTCGGCATGGCATGGTTCGGCTTGTGGGAGGCGCTTGGAGCCCGCATCCTGCCGGGCTATGATGCTGGCTTCAGCAATCACAATATGCCTTACACCACCGGCGAGGCGGATACTCGTTGTTCGTGTGCCACAGCTGTCAGCCTCAATCATCCCCCCGCAAGGTGGGTTGCTTCTTGAGCCACTACGCGGTGTGGCATCACATGGTGGAAAAGAACATATCGACTGCCCTAATTCTGGAAGACGATTTCGACGTGCAGGAAGACTTTGGAGAACGATTAGGCCACATGGGCAGTGTTCAGTTGTGATTGTTGGACGCTTAGGTTTCTGCAAGCGGGTGCTCTCAAGTCCCAGAAGTTGTTGAATGCTTGCACAGGTGCGTACTTGGCTGAAGTCGAGGGTCTCGACTGGAACCTCATGTGGCCCAGCTTCCGATGTTTGACCCCGAATTGCCATCCGCTTGTGTTTCCATGACTGAGGCATGCCCCAGACCCTAGAGTTTTCATATGTTTTTACATTGCGCACCATCACAGACATGCGCGCATGCATACATTGCATGCATGTGTATGCTATATGTATAAGTATGGTTAAATACATTTGCCCAAGGACAAGGCTCGAACATACGACCCACATACGAAGTTCCACGCAGCTCCGGCTGGGCACGCGGGCTAGCGGATTTCTTTGACCCTCCGCCCACTACCGCCATTGTTTGCTCGAATCAAGAAGTCGCACCCGCCGCCAAAGCCACGACCGCCCTGCGAATGCCATCGAGTGAAGGAGCTAGTGAAGAGCATGCCTGTGACGGTGTGTACATGTGTATATAGTATATAATGCATATATGTACCTAGGTATGTGTGTAAGTATGTATGTGTGTAGTTACATATGTATATATGCTTGTTTGTTGCAAGTTTGTTGGTTGGTTTGTTTTATTTGTTTGTGTCTAGACACTATATTTCTGTGTACAATTATATATGTATCAGTATGTGTGCATATGTATGTAGTCATGTACGCCGCGCACCGTCCCGTTCATGCATAAACAAACAATGCTGCATCAACACATGTGTGCATACACACACATACATGCATACATGCATACGTACGCATATATAGATAAATATACAGCAACAGCTATGTTACATGTGTACACGAATAAGTCTGGTATATACAGAATAAGTCTGGTATATACAGATTAGTGATGGGCTCTATCGCTGGTTAAGGTGCAAGTACATGCAGCCAGCCGCATGCAGGTACGTTGGCAGGAGCCCCATGGAGAATGATGTGAGCAAGGTCTCGGAGCACGTGGTGCAACCGGGTTATACCTTGTGGACTGTCGGCTACATCCTCCGCCTGGATGCGGCGAAGCAGCTTCTGGAAACCCACGCTGAACAGCACATGTGGCTAGGTTTGGCATTCCAGGAGGTTGTGTACCTTGCATCGTAGTTTTTCACAGAACTTCCTTGCAGCAGCCGAGGATCCCCTTGGACGATTTCTTTTCCATATCAATGGGTTGTGGGATGGACCGACAGTACAACGAACGGGCTGTAGAATGGAGCGCGCAGATCCCCCCAATCATGCGAGGGCTGGCTTTCAACCCTCCCCTTGTCATGCCCTATGTGGGGTCTATGTTCAAAAGCGACACGGCCATGCTTCGGCCTGGGACACGTTACGTGCAAGATTTGCCGCCGCATGGAGAAGATGTTGTTTCTCCTGATCCACGCTCTCGTGGCTTAGCCCCGGCAAATGCAGCAGAGACAAGCATGCCTTTTCCTGCCAGCACTGGAAGCCGGCGAGCATTGATGCCGAAGGAGTGGAGAGAGGCGCTGGAGACTCTTGATGCCATCTACGCAACAGCTGCAAGATGATGACTACTGAGTCTCACTCCGCCGCGTTCCTTTGACGACGGCAAGAACACGTTGGACCAAATCGATGCAGTCGATTCAGCGCTAAGACCTCATCAAGAGGGACGTTCTGGAGACAAGCGAGCAACTGCCAGCTTCTGTGCGAGAGTGCGACCTGTGCCATAGCTGGGTAAGATCAGTTGCTCTGCATGGCGAGGACCAGGAAAGAGCCACAAGAAAAACGCACAAATGTTGATGCGGTTGTCGGCTAAACAGGAATGCAAGGGCCATCGCACAGTCTCTAGGAACATGACGCTGCAATGAGAACTACCCGTAGACGAAAACTCTTTGTTTCAGAAGCTGGGACTTCACGTGGGAACCTCTAGGTCAGCTTGCAGCGGTTGAATTCCTTCGGGTTTCTTGGCATCGGCTTCCTACGTTTTGAATATATACATTTTAAATGCCCCACCTAAGAGGACATGTCAGACAACGACGATCACACCTGTACAACTAGCTGGGTCTACACTACAAGGTACTGAACGATTCATAGCGGCTTCTCTTGCGATATCTTGCGATGACATGGCGCGAAGATCAGATTCGATTCTGCCAGTTTGACTTTCGACTGTTTCAAGGGCATCTTGCAGCTAGTCGTACTGTACGTTTCAGGACCGTGCTTATTCAGTTCATGCGTAAAGTCCAGGGTCCTGTTTTTCATGACCCCGCCGCCAGAGTCCATGTTGACAGTTGCCAACTTGCTGATGCAAGTGTTGCAGCACCCGTAAGTCAGCTAGCTTCTTGCCGCAATTGAGTTGTTGAAGATGATGAATCGTACTTTGCCTCTCGTGCTTTAGATGGTGTGCGCAGCGGCGTGCCTATGAACATCTTCTCAACAAACCAGCTGCGCAGCAAAATTGTACTGAGACTGGTTTGGGCTTTGGTGGTGCAGATTGCTCGGCTTGTGGCAGCTAGTGTCAGTGGCCTGTCTGGGCTCTGTAGCCGAAGCAGTTCCACAGGCATGGCGAGGCTTCGACTGATAGTGACAAGGGCTTAAGGCTTAAGACAGAAGAAGTGGTCGGCAGGAGAAGAGGAGCACACCTGGCTAAACGACCAGCTGGGCACTCGTTTCTTCGTTGCGCCCGAATCACAGCTGCACAGAGACAGCTGGGATGGAACAACTGAATCTTGGCGGGGCCGGCTGGCGCCTTTAGCAGGCTTGATGTATTGGAAGCACGGGTCCCCTCGTCAGTCCGCTGGATGCAAGCGAGGATTGCTGAGGCTTTCGTTGCAGGGTAGAAGCATGCCCAAGCGCTACATGCAAGACCGAAGCCAAGTTCCTCGAGCCTGACAGCTTGTGAACTCTATCTTTTATCAAGTCTGAGCCACAAACTGTCTACCTCTGGCCTCGGGCTAGACAGGCCGCCTGTACCTTCGCAACAGTGACTACCGGAGATTGGACTTGTCGGAACCGATGCTTCAAGACAGATCTAAGGAAGTGATCGACAAAAGTATCCCTTATGGCTGCAAGTGTGACTGCTGGTCCTTGGGTGTGATGTTGCACCTTAGCTCCAGCCGCCAAATCTACCAAGCCGAGCTGCAATCGACATCACATGTTGCGAAATGTGAGCTAAGGTACATCATTCTTACGGACGAGCACCCGTGCTCTCCTGATGCCCACAAGTTGGACACAGCAGGGCTCTTTGGGTGTCTCGGCTGCTGAGATTAGTGCACGGCAGCTGTCGCGTGTTCAGGCATTTTATGTCTCTCAAGTTTCTATAATGTGAGAGCTGTCTATGCAGGAAGATTCTGACCGGAAGAATTCGCTCTAGGCCGCTGCAGGACACGCCGACTCCAGCTACTGTAGCTGAAGAGCTAGGGTATGTCTCTTGCTGCAAGGCCACAAGGCCAAACACGAGTAAATGGAACCCAGTTCGGATCCTTGCTTCGCGGACCCTTCAACATCGGTTGATCCGGGGGGTGGTTCTCGGGACACAGGAGGCAGATGTGGACGACGACGCAGCAGAGCTCCTTTTTGGTCTTCTGGCGTCTCGCAGAATACACAGCCCGATACGTGAGCTTGCTTTGTCGAGGTGTCTCGAGGGTCCTAGCGACTTTGTGTTGTTACCGTAGTCGTGCTGACAATATCACCTTGGGCTCGCGGCACTCAGGAGAAGAACCCGGATGCTCGACGCTTGACCTGTTCAGAGAGTCCGTTCCGGGTGCGCGTAGACGTGTCCGCACCCTTGAGAGCTGATTTTGCAACTCCATGGCCATGCCGCCATGAGTTGAGGAGTGCGAAAAAGCTTACGCGACAAATCTCACCACTTTTTCTGTTTGAAAACCCTGGGTCAGGTCTGGATGCGCAAGCTGCCTTGAGAAGTCCGTGGCTGTCTAGGGTGCAGGACCGCGTTTCTCCAAGTTCGTCAATAGAGCACATGTGTTTGATCATGGTGGCGAAGGTCGTCTGCCGCCATGAAGTGCTCGAATCTTGCAGCTGTACTTGACTATCGTCTTGTTGATGCTGCTGCAGGACTCGCGGCCCAAGCTGCTGCATAGTCCATCGTCATCCGATCCAGACATCAAGAGCTCTCATCATCTTTCTCCCATATCGCAGGGAGCCTTGTCGACAAATCTTGCGAACAAGAAGGAAGGAATGTGTCAAGTGCACAGTTAGGCGGGTGGCTGCGTCTTGCGTTTTTACACAACATGCAACAGTATTTCTGAGATGCCCGCAGCACACATAAGGACTGATTCGCGTCTTGGCAACCGGTTCAAGAGATCTGGGATAGCTTGTTCAAGTTTTTTCTTCGTTCTTTATCGTGCACACACACACTGCTGGCTCGCATTTTTGAGGAAGGTTGGCAACCTTCCGGCACTACTCCAAGTTCGAACGGGCGGTGCCTCTCGGGCAAGCGAGTCGCCATCCGTGCATTGTGAGAAACCCTTCTTCAGTGCTTGGCGCAAACTCTCGGCCCATGCTACACGAGCGAAGAGTGTCAAGACAGCTGGGTCGTCATGACGAGGCGGTCCTGAGCTTGCATCCATGCCGGATGAAAAAGAGATGAAAACGAGATATGCCAACAAAAACATAAACCACGGCAGCTGGTGCCAGCTGTGCAGGTCATGTCGTCATTCTGCATGTCGGCTTGCCAAAGCCATTCATCGGCTTTCGCCATTCCATGCAAGTTCGTGCGTTTAATGGAAAACATCGGACCAACCCGAAGACCCGAAGCATACACACGCTGGCCAAGCCAAGAAGCAGATCACCAAGCAGACGTTCCTGCTCACGAGGTCACGACTGCACTTTTGCTTGTCCCAGGTGCTGACGCTAGTGGCTCACCGGTCCGAGGACTGCCCTCGGCTTGATCCAGTGACCTAGGCTTGAGAACTGAGATGCTCCAGGATACAACTGTAGCCGAGCTTCGGGATGCTTTCCACACGTTGGACGCGTCACAGTCAGGCCGGTGGGCTCTGAGCGCAACGCAAGTGGGGTGGGCATCAAAGCGTATGGCTTTTGAGACTTAGGCTCTCTGAGCAAGAGCGAGATCAAAGCACCAGGGCCCAGCTTTCCAACGATGCATCCAGGACCCATCCATGAAACTCTGCGCTGCACCGAGGAAGGCATCCTCCGCTGTGGTCATGTCGTGGAGGATGCGGAATTGACTGAAATTTTCTCGGCCTTGGATGCCGACGGCACAGGATCCAGCGCAGTAGAGCACAGGGGGTGACCGCATTGATGCCAGAGTCTTCCTAAGTTTCCGTGCTGCTTGCGGACCGTTTCCTTCCTGAACACAAGTTAGTATCGAACTTAATTTGGAGCAGTGGGAATGCACAGTGGCCTTAACCAGGCACCGGCACAGGTAAATGTCCAGAAGTTGCATATTTGTGTGTTGTGTGGCGTGGTTTGTTCGAATGTCGGACTAGGTTATATCTTATAATTTTGGCTTTTGATGTACTCGTCCTTGCTGTGCTGAGCGCTTACGACTGTGCCTCGATGTCATCTGTACCGAAGGAATTTTGCAAAGTTAGTTCACGAAACTCTCTGTTGCTAAACTGGAAAGGTCTTACTCTCGCTAGGAGCTACCTGTACAACTCGCTCTGAACACTTCGCAGATCTGATGACGGCAGGAAAAGTTCACTACACGGAGTGGCTGGCAGCGACAATGCAGCCTTCTGCCTTGGCAACCGACAAGGCCATCAAGCAGGCTCCTGCACAATAATGGTTCGAAGCTGGCCGCGCCTGTCTGTGTCATGCAACATGCGACACCTTGAGGTGTACCACTACCTGGACATTGATCAGACTGGTCATATAGCTCCCCATGAGCTTCAGAGGAGCCTACGGTTGCACAGGAGAAGCGAGTTTTGTCTGTATGAACTTATCCGTCACTTTAACAGTGTCGTGAGACTGCCAAGCTCAGGGTGCTGGGTTGCAGTGACTCGGTGCAGAGCGTTCTGAAGCTTGGGGACACGGATGGTGACAGCCTGATCAATGAATCTGAATTTCGACTCTCGCCAGCAATGAGCAATACTTTCGCACAGACTGGGGATAAAGCCCACTTTAGATGTCTGTTTCATGTTCGTTCGCAAGGTGTGCTCATGCGCAACTTGGCGAAAAGGCTCGACCAAATGGACCTCCATCCCAAAAGGCTAGGTTTTCATTTGCCTGAGGCAAACAGCTTAAATAGCATGCATCAACTTTAACCTTGCAGAAAGCTCTTTGCGGCCTTTACCTTTGGTTGGATCATGTGAACACGGGCAGCATCCACAGCCTGACAGCCATTTCATTGACGAGTAAAGGCCGGAAGATCGGTTGCAGTGATATTGTTCGTGGCTTCTGCTTGCATCACATGTCCCCTTTGATTGATGCCAAACAGATGGATGTCTGTACTGGGCTTTAGTCGCCATGTGATGCAAGCTCGAGCTTGGCACGGTCTTAGTGGCTGCTCGCCAAACCACCCCAAAAGGTGTGTGAAGGCTGCGCCATCTCGAATTTGTGGCACAGGAAACGGAGCTATTACGATATTCTGTTCATTGCCCATACACTGCCTTCATGGACCGTGTCAGTCTCTGTGCAAACGTCGCAGGAGTTTTGCTTTTCCTAGAGGGAAGGTTTTTGAGCCACCTGGCCAAGGCAATTGTCTCCAGGTGCGCTCCAGCATAGAAACCACCAGGGCAGTTTGGCCAGCCAAGTGTGGAGAGACGTTAGTCACCTGGATCACAAGATCTACGCTGTGTTGTGCTTCACAGCTTGGCGATGTGCATTACCACCGCAGCCTGTAGATTCTGTATCCTGTAAAGAGACGGCAGTGTCGTTCACGCACTGCACATGGCAGTGTGCACGTACCCTTTACGAGGGGTTCGCACAGGTGCCCAAGATGGCACACTCGTTGCAGGCACGCAAGCAGGCCTTGTCAGTTCGGTAGCTAAGGTGCTGAACTGGCATGGCATGTCTGTGTGACAGATCCGGTCCGCGTGTTCCCCAAAACCAGACCTGAGATCTGGGACACAGCCGATAGAGCACACAGAGATTTTGACAAACCTCAAGTCCAAACAGATGGCCAAGTGCAAGAGTTTTCACTCGAAGAAACCAGTCACTGCTAAGCATTGTCACCTTCCATGCCAGATGAGGTCTAGTGACATGGTACCGGTTTTCATGGCAAAGAATCGAGCCGAGCCGCACATGCCAATCGCAACCGGGACTCGCCCGGTGTTGACAAGACCTAACATCGACGACACATCGGCAAAGGCTTGAGATGGCCACCCGCTGCCATGGGTAAACGCTGATGGTCTCTCATGACGCGCCTAAGGGGAGATCGGCGGTGACGGTGCTGCTCCTGGTAGCAGCCCGTTTGAATTTCCATGAAAGGCCAAGGGTTGAGACTTGACGTGCTTGTGTCAAGTCCCTAGGCCGTCCTGGCTGCTAGCAGCGGAGCTGTCTTGGTTCGCTTGGCCCATGGTCTGCCGCCGCTGACAGCTACTTGGAGGCGAGAGGGGTGTGGCTGGTTGAGGTGCTGAGGCTTTGAGAGCGCTGAACCTAAGCGACTCTTGCAACGAGCTCAGGTGGCCTTCTGGCGAACGGGTCTCGCAGCCGTCGTCTTGCTGCCTTCTTGGCGGTCTTTGGGCAGGCTGCAGATGACACTTCCCGTGTTCACACTTCCATCATCTTCCACTGCTTCTCTCGGAGGAAGGACTCCGGCCTGGCAGGGCTGGCAGGCCTTGCCTTGGCCTGTCATTTCTGGACCTGGAGCCCTGTTTGCAAGACCGGGGTCCGTCCGCATGCGCAATCATGCAACCGGCAGCCGTCTGCAATGTTCTAGTGTTCTACTAGCTGGCAGTTCAAAGAGCACAGTGTCCAGGTCGTGGGAGTCGAAATGCCACAAATAAACAGTATGGTACACCCTGGCGGCGTGCGTGAATCCAGATGCAAGGGTGCATGCATTGCAAGCGAAGACCGCACTCGCACGGGAGCGACGCTCGAGAGCAGAACCCAGAAAGACCCATAGGTTTGCATCACTGCAGCGGACTACAGTCGGTGGCTTAGCGGGCTGAGCATGCCCAGACTGATCTGCAAGACCAAAAGCAGCTGGTGTCCAGGTGCTTCGCTCCACCTTGCTCGTGTCCTCGACCCCTGTTTGGGCTGGACTTATCGGGTACGTCACAGGCCGGGCCCCACAAGATAAAGTGAGAAGTGCCAAACAACTGTCCTTCCTCCTGCGGAACCAGGCCAGGACGTCCCTGGTTGGCGGTTCTGGTTCGGCGTCGGGATCGCAACCGCAGGTCATCCTGGTAGATGCTGCGAGCACCGCTGTGTCAATTGATTTGGTTCATGCAGGGGCATGGTGCAGTGCTAACACTGGTTTGACCGGTGGGGATTTCCTTGGCGACCTCCTGGCACTGCGCCTTGATTGGCATATGAGCATTTCGGTCCTTTCGCGGAGAGCCGCGGGCTCCGCGTGACTTAGATTCCTCCTACACCGTACCCCTCCTCCGTACCTCTAATGCATGTGATGCTTCCAACTTGCTTCTTATGTACATTCGTCGGAGCTGGCAGTGTGCGCTTTTGTGCAGTGGGCTACCACCTGGTGCGCAGCTTCGAGCCTACTCCAGTACATGTAGTTTGCAAATGGAGGAGTTTGAGTGAAGTACAGACCTCCAAGGCTTGGGGCAATGTTCTGCGCCATATACTTGTCGAGCCACGGCTGGTGCTTGCAGGCGTGTGCATAGACAGCCTTACCACGCATCGCAAGCTGCGCAACCCATGACAGATCCTAGGATTGGGCGAGATGTAAGACAACGTGTCGGCATCGGCTGCTACGGCACTCGCATTTGTGGCAGTTGTGCCACTTGCCTGGCCATCGTTGCGGTCGTCACAGGAGCGTGCCGAAATTGTCGCTTCAGGCAATGTATGTACTTGACACTACAGTATTTTGCAGGCGGTAGTGTGGCTTCTTTCTCAATCTCCAGCTTCACCTTGACAGGAACCCCTTTGTGGCCGACTTGCGCGCGCCAATGGCTTGCTGTCTGTGCGCTTGCTGCCGGACCACAGCTTACAGGGCACATCGGCTTCAACTTTGCGCTACATCACTTGCCTGCATGGACAGTGCTCTGGCAAGCACTGCTGCCTATACGAATCGACCTTACAAAGATGCCTGGACAGATGAAGGGCGGATCGCATCAAGTGTCGAGGGCATTCTGTGTTTTTTGAGCAACGTAGGCAAGACTTTCTGTTCCAGAATGATCGGGCCGAGGTCGCAGTTGCTGGCCTACTGGAACCTCTTGGAGCTACTCTGCTTGCTGCGTTGCTTCTCGGCGAGGTCGGGGCAGTCCGACCAAGCGGTAGAGCAGGTAGACAGGAAAGGATAAAGAGAAAGGTGACAAGAGACTGAGAAAGATCGACACTGATGCAAGAAACATGCCTAAAGGAAGACACCGATAAGACCAAAGACATAGATAGAAAGAGAGGAGGGAAAATCAGAGACCCGTGCACGCAATGCACAGGGTTCATGTGTGAGCGAGAAGGGCAGGGAAGGAAGGTGGCGGGGCGCGCCTGGTGCGTGGGGTAGGCCCTGAGGCCATGCAAAAAGAAAGAGAGCTGTCCGGGGGGAGGTGGTCGGTGTCTCTGCCTGTTGCAGGCGCAAGCGGTCTTGCCCGCTGATCCTTTCTGCCTGCTTTAAGCAGAAGACAGATAGAAGAGAGAGTAGAATTGGAATGCACTTTTAAGGCAAAGTCGCCGGCTTTTGAGCTGCGCCCGCCCACGTCCGTGGATTGAATTGCACGCCGGAAACCGCCCGGGGGGAAACAGAAGGATGCCGGAGGGTAGGACACACAATGCCGATACCGATACTTGAGGTGCCCACCTTTAATCAGATCCTTGGTGCCGTCATCGTGGTGGCCGGCCTCGTTGTCATCTGATACGTCCAAGACCACATCATCCCAGCAAAGCACCAGCACTTTGAGGGTAAGTCGCGGTTCAGGTGGTGCGCAGCATTGAGACACGGCTGCAGTTGTCGGCACGCAGGTTGTTGGTCATGTTTCGTCTGATATATGGAACAAGAGGTTATAGAGACTTCGGGTCAACCCTTGATCCTGAAACCCTAAACTCTAAACCTCAGCGGAGGATCATGCGATGCCCCGGTTTTTTAGCCTTCTGCGATGTAGTATAAGTATAAGGTATTAGTTTTTGAGGATAAGGACCGGTGTCGTGGAGCCCAAGTAGTCCTGTTGAGTGAGACCTACTCGACGAAACGCCCCATGTAGACCTTGTTGACTGCCCCCTGGCACTGTCGGAGTCTGTGTTTCGTGGGTTTAGGGTTGGTTAGACACTGCTGTGTGGTTGCCTGTTCAACTGATGTGAATCGAGCAGACAGTCAACTCGAATGTTTCACGCCGACCTCGAACCAAGAACCTCACCTGGCATGTCCGAGTCGTGAGAGCGCAAACATCAAGCTCCAAACGACCTTCCTAACTAGACCGTCTCCATGCCTCGCCTGGATTGTCCGAGCGTGAGTGCCCGAACCACCTGAGGTGCAAAGGGATCCCATGGGCATCAAGGGCTACTGCGATCCAATTTTGATGCTCGGCCTGTGGTGGTTGGAGGCCATTGTTTGAGGAGGGTTTAGGAAGTTCAGGGTTTAGGGTTTAGGTATGTGGGAGTGGGAGGAGGGGTCTATTGATGGCTTGCCCCTCACGGCCTCTGTCTTGGTAAGGGTTTGCTTGATGCGGGAACACAACAACAGACTTGACATCTGATTTCTTAGAATTAGGAGCCCCAGATGTCGATCTAAGGTTTTGTGTGAGATAGTAGCTTCCTATCTCAATGACGACCCGCAGTTTTTGGAAACCCTCGTGTGGTCTAAGGAACACAAGCTGAGGAATCAGGAGGCGGTGTTGCTCGATGCCTCATTCGCTGAGGGTGCGCTCAGCAGTATCGTACTACGCCTGAAAGAACCACATACGAGTCTTGGCCTGACCCACAACATGTCGCACGAGATGTCGCGATAGATTTCCAGCTGGATGGCAGGGTGAAGTTGGCAGAGCAAGGTTCTCTGCTTGGTGCTCTAAAACCGAGTATGGTGATCATCATAGAGGAAGAAGGTAGCAGTAGCGCTACTGGTGCTGGTGGTCATGGGCAGTAGTAGTAGTAGTAGTAGTAGTAGTAGTAGTAGTAGTAGCAGCAGCAGCAGCAGCAGCAGTAGTAGTAG